CACTTCTAGTACTCATCAGTCCGCACAGAAAAGTCTCTTGCAACCATGGTCAATATCAAACAGGAAGTCGGCCATTTTGGGTTGAAATGGCGATTTTTAGCCGTTTCTGCCGTTTTTAGGGTCCGTTTCTGATTGGATTGCTCAATCATTGTTTGCACGATCGTCTCATAAATTGTGTAAAATTGTTCAGAAGGGATGGGTGAACAAAATGAGACAAGGATTCTGACTTTTCGTATATGTTGAAGGGGCGGGGCCAGGCCTCGAAGTTTGACTGCTCGCCAAAAAAGTTTAAATTGCTATAACTTCATAACTGAAAAGAATAGAGTTACCAAACTGTCTGTGGTCATTCGTCATCCACCCACAAAGTAATTTGAATGGTCGGATGATGACATCACACAAGCCCCGCCCCCTCAGGAGCAAAAAGGTCAAGTTTTACTGTGAAAGGTCCCAAATTGCCCCATTTCACTTAATCACCACAAATTTGTAGCTGGTAACTCAAGACAAGTTGGGGTTGCTTGGCGTCACTTTATGGGAGTTTTCGGCAGAGGGCGGGGCTGTGGCGGCGCGGCGAAGTCAGGCGTACCGCCGTGGCCTTACGTTTGCTGCCCATTTCGTCATTTCTAAAGATATCGTCACGAAACTTCTTGTGAGTGATCCTAGTCCGGCCCCTCAAAAAATCTGATGTCAACATCCGGTGGGCGTGGCCTATTTTCTGAAATAGCGCCCCCTAGGACCATTAAAACTGTCAGCCCCAAGCCATGCTTTGACTGAGGATTACGAAATTTGGTACACAAATGTGGTGTCTCAGGACCTACAAAAAGTCTCTTGGAGCCAAGTGCAAAGTCGCACAGGAAGTCGGCCATTTTGGTCCAAGTACCCGATTTAGTGGTTTTCGCACACGTTGTTTGGAGAGTGATGCTCCGTCGCCCTTTTCACCAATCTCCTTCAGACTTGTGCTATATAATCTTAAGACATAGGGGAAAAATTCAACCGTCGGATTTTTCAAAAGTTGAAAGGTGTGGGCGTGGCTAAGCCTCAAACTTTGACCTGTCGCCACGCCACTCTTTTTTTCACAGCTCCCTACTGGACTCCTTTTACCCAATCACCAGGATTCTGTGGCAAACAGCAGTAGACAACTTGAGGTTACCTGGTCTCCAGTACTGGCAGGTTTTGAATAAAGGCGGGGCTTTGAGAGCATGGCGAAAATCGCCATCACGCCATGGAAATACGTTTGCCTCTCATTTCTTCAGTTATCGTGATATCACTACGAAACTTCTGGTGAGTGATCCTAGTCTGACCCCCAAGAGAAATGGACAGCTGAAGTTTGTGGGCGTGGCCTATTCTCTTAAATAGCGCCCCCTAGGACCATTTAAACTAATAGCCCCAAGCCATGCTTTGACTGAGGATTACAAAATTTAGTACACTAATGTGGTGTCTCAGGACCTACAAAAAAGTCTCTTGGACCCAAGCGCAAAGTTGCACAGGAAGTCGGCCATTTTGGTCAAAGTACGCGATTTAGTGGTTTTCGCACACGTTGTTTGGAGAGTGATGCTCCGTCGCCCTTTTCACCAATCGCCTTCAAGCTTCTGCTATATACTCTTAAGACATAGGGGAAAAAAATTCAACTGTCGGATTTTTCAAAAGTTGAAAGGTGTGGGCGTGGCTAAGCCTCAAACTTTGACCTTTCGCCACGCCACTCTTTTTTTTCACATGTCCCTATTGGACTCCTTTTACCCAATCAATAGGAATCTCTGGCAAATAGCAGTAGACAAGTTGAGGTCACTTGGTATCCAGGACAAGTAGGTTTAGAAAAAGGGCGGGGCTTTGGCAGCATGGCAAAAATCGCCATCACGCCAAGGAAATACGTTTGCGTCCCATTTCTTCAGTTTTCGTGATATCGCTACGAAACTTCTGGTGAGTGATCCTAGTCTGACCCCCAAGAGAAATAGACAGCTGAAGATTGTGGGCGTAGCCTATTTTCTGAACTAGCGCCCCCCTAGAGTCATTAAAACTGTCAGCCCCAAGCCATGCTTTGTCCGATTGATGCCAATTTAACAGAAAAACATCTTGTCATCCAAAGCTGACCTCATTGGGATTGGGATGGTCACAGCGCCCCCTAGATAACTTTAACCTACAATAACTTTAAAAAACGTGGTCAGAAAAGCATTACAGTTGGCCTGTGTCATCACACCACCAGTGTGGTAAAGATAGAGTTTGCCCTATTGGTGAGACATGTAATATAATGGTGGGCTCCGAGGGGATGCTGAGTCAGGGTGAGGTGCGGACGAGGTGACCGTTAGCGGTTTCTGGTGTCGGGGTGGCCGACGTTTCTGTTCCGCGGACGTGCCCTGTTGCCCCGGGCTGCTGGCCAGGCCGGAGCGGCGCGGACCTGCGAGGGCCGAACGACGCTGCTTGCAGCTTTAATTATTATTATTATTTTTTTTTTTTTTTGTAAAACTGAATTGTTTTTAAATGTTTTGTCCCCATTTTTACAAATGCTTAATCTTTTAGTTTCTATAGATGCAGTAAAAGTTGCCTGGTTTTTCACACTCTGCTTCTTTACTTTGGCTGAAAATTTTCTAATTTAATGACTTGGTGGTCTTTTAATTACCTGACCTTCTGAGACCTGTTGATGACCGTAATGGAGAGTAGGGCTGAACGATCTATCGTTTTTGGGCTGAAATAGCGATTTCAAACAGCGCGATCACGTGACCATCAAAACTGCGTATTTTTTGTTTTGGTTTGGTTTTTTTAGCGCTCCTGACTGATCCAGGATCTGTTGTGTCAATTGTTTTTTTACATTCTGGGTTTCTCCCTGTGTTACGGCAACAGCCAGCGCGGGGGAGGGGGTGGTGTATACCGTCTAGACCCGAGCCCAATTCCACAGCTGACAGAGTTGCATATTTAGGTTATTTTCCGTTTTAGTTTTCTACAAACAGCGCTGCTAGAGCTGATGATAATGGCTGTGGTCGTCTCTTATCACCATAGGTGAGTGAGGGAGAGAGAGACTCCTCCCGCGTCAGAGCAGGTTCAGGCTGATGTTTAAAGCTTGCTTTACGCTTCATCAGCGCGAGTGTGGAGTCGCAAACTTCAGTTGACTTGAAAGTTCAACTTCTCTTTAAAAAATGGTTTGAATTTTTTCTAATGGCACACATTAATTCAAGCAAGCTAATGTGTCAGAGTGTCTCTTTCAATGCGTGTGTGTCTCTCATGGAGCTGCCTGCAGCATAAACTATGCTTTATAACGGAGTGAGGAAAAACAATCAGACGTCTTTGAAAAACGTGCAGCCAGCCTGCCTTGGTAATGCAGAGAAAACTGCATTTTTTGTTATTTAATACATTTGAAAGCTGTTTCTACATTCAGATTTCCTCCTTGCATTTGTGGAGTAGAACAAGAACGTGTGTTTTATAAAGCACCTCTAGATAAAAATCACAAATTGCTTCAAAGCACATGAAAAAAAGATATAAATATAATAATTGGAGAAAATATTAATAGCTTTAACTGTTGTATGATTAGATAGTAAATATTAATGTGAATAATTTGTTGTACTAGATTAGTGTCTAGACCATCTTCTCACTTAATATGTAGTAAGTTTGGGCAATGGGATGAATGAATCGACCATCGTCGATGGGCTGAGCCGTTACGGTTGGTTTTTTACAGGAAGTGATTTGTTTATTTATTTGTTGGCATTGATGAAAATTTTACACGTTACGCACAGAGAACATCGCGGAGGTAACATTTAAGAAAAGATCTCCATCAGCGCATCTGAGCCTTTTCTCGCCTCCTCCGCCTCTGGCTGCTGACAGTGCGTGCGCAAGCGGCGCGCTGAGGAGGGGTTTGGAGAGCGACTGTGACGTAAATCGTGCACTACAGCGCGGCATTGAGTGGAAAGTGGAAACCCTTCTGTCTTTCAGAGTCTGGAAGACTTCTGGTTATTTCATTTAGAGAAACATTTCCTGATTTCAAACTTTGGCAGAAGTAGCACTCGTCGTTATTCAGCACCTGCTTCGAGTTTGTCAGCTGAGCACGGATCCATCCAGAACCTTATTGAAACAGCCATGAGTCTGTCTGAGGCAAAAGTCTGAACCTCATAACCTCTTCAGCAAGCTCCCTAGAGACATTTGATTACACGCAAGCTGCAGGTGACCAGTTCAGGTTTACGCTGTGCAGAAGGAATGTGCCTTCGAGCTGCAGCAGGTGAAATGTTCCTAATTTAAGTGAAATTGTTTAATTGCCTTGTTCATGTTACTGGGGCATTCTGATCAGCTTGGTTGGACTAAATATTAATTGAAATGAATGGAAATTTAACGAATGATTATTCATTATTTCAAAAATGAAAGTGACAGGGATAAATGGCTCATGTGACTTATGGCAGCGAGCTGCCTCCTCAGAGTGCGTTCAAACACAGCAGCGATTCATTCCATCCCCAAAGAACCCCAGAAGATTTTGTTCAGAAAGAAACATTTTGCTTAATAAAGTTCCACAACAGTGGGCACCACAGGGAAGCAAAGACGAGGCTTCTTTTTAACATTTAAACGTGTTTAATACGGGCTGTTTATACGTCACTCTACCAAACTACAAATACAAAATTAAACAAAAAGAAAAATATAAATTTCTCTTCCAGCAAACATATGTGCTGCGCTTGTCTAACAAAATCTATGTTTTGGGCTTCTTCTGTGATAAATCAGTCCGTGACGTCATGACGTCACAATCACGAATAAATGTCCATTGTCCTTATTTGGACTGACGACTGGCAGTGGGAAAAATTATACAAATGGCCCAACCCTAATATTTAGGATGGCTTGGCAGGCTAGTGTTGTACCTTTGAACTGAAATCACAATTTCTCCTAGAAAAAGATTGCAATTCAATCTTTTCCTTAAATCGTTCTGCCCTGATGAGGAGTGTGTTATTTCTTTTTACCATGACTGCCCTTCAGAGCTTTTCAACCAGTCTGTACAGAGCTGATGTTATCCCGTTTGACTCTCCCTGTCCTCCCAGAGCTCTGTTCCTGATGACCAAGGGTAACTTCCAACCCCCGAAGTTAAAAGATAAAATCAAATGGTGAGACTACAACTTGTCCAGGGATTGTTTATTTTGCCTTAGTTGTTGAAATTAAACTATTTCATCAGTGCAGCGTCTTGGGGTCCTGTGATTAACTCTATTTTTCCTCCTTGCCAAACAGGACAAGTAATTTCCACCATTTTGTCAAACTGGCCCTGACCAAGAACCCAAAGAGGAGACCTACAGCTGAAAAGCTACTGCAGGTGGAAATAAAGATGTTTCTAATCTCAAAGCTGTTTAAACAACTCCAGATATTTAGAATGCATGATTTTTACCAAACAATGATTTCTGTCTCGTCTGCCTTGCAGCACCCGTTTGTGTCCCAGCCTCTAAGCAGGACCCTGGCAATCGAGCTGCTGGACAAAGCCAGCAACCCCGAGCACAGCACATACAACGACTTTGATGACGATGACCCAGAACCTGAGGTAACGCGTGATCTCCTTGTGGTTAACCATTGTGTCATTTAGCAGGTCAGCAGAGAAATTTTGAGTTTTTCTGGATTTTTTTTTTCTCCCCTCTTAAATTGTCTTGTTTTCTCAGACAATCTTTGACTTGCCTATCTGTCAGCGCTCACATCCTCTCACTACTATCCTTTCTCAGATTCGTGTGTCTTATTTTATATATATTTTTCTTTCTACCCATTTTTGTCAATTTTAATTCTTGCTTAAATCTTTTGGCTTTTCCTCCTCTTAGCACTTCTCTTTTCCTGCTTCCTCCTGTTTTCCTTTTGTCCTCTCATCTCCCCCCCCCTCGCCCTCTTCCTCCTCCTCAGTTTAAGTACAGAGGTCACTTCCTCCCCATAAGCCCCGGTGCTCGACGTGCACCCCGTTTTGCTGCTCGTAGGAAGGTACTTGTGCCGGCTGCAGTGATCTCAGTCTAACTCAAACTATTCCTCCATCTTTGTTTTATTTTTGTCTTTGACCGGGACGACAGAACTGAATGAATAGAGTGGATTTCCATTTAGTCTGCTGGTGTTGTCATGGATGCGGGCCGTGGTATGTGACATACAGGCACTTGATGGATTACTCAGGCAGCGGCATAATTAATTCAAAATTCCAGTGGAGACTTGTATTTAAAGTTGACGTTTTTCTGCTTACACGGGTATCAGCTGGTGTCGTGTACAGCTGTATAAACAAAATAAACACAGTCGAGTCTTTTTTCATATCATTTAAATTTGAATTCTACCCAACTGTAAGAAACAGCACAACCTTATAATTGAGATTTAAAGACCACAACATTATTAGGCTCGTTTCCACCATTGGAACTTCTGGGTAATTTTACCGGACCTTCGCGACGTACGCCTGTCTTCGTTTCACCTGGCTGGCCCAAAGGACCGTTTTCCATGCCATTTCAGGAACCAATCAAGTAGGGTTAGACCGATATATCGGGTCAATATTTGATATTTTTATAAATCTGCATCTTAATGTCAGGCGTAGCCCGGGCAGCCCGGTGCCGCTGCAGAATTGACTTTTAAGTGTATTTTTATGTTCCTGAATAACATCTGCTTTACAAAATGCTCTAAAAATAATTTCCAACTAAAAGTTATTTTTATTCATCAGTTTTAAATATTCAATACTTGGTCAGTTTACTGATTTGTTTGATTAACACTTCAAAAAAGCTTGGGCAGTATCCAAATATTAATCCCGTTAAAACGTTCTCTACATTTCACCCCGGTGTTCGTAATTACCATTACTAATTCAAAATTACGACATAAGCCTTTAGTGACGTTACCTTCACTGTTCAGAAACTGAAATCCACTGACCAGTGCACAAAGTTAGGATTCACTAGCTGGTTAAATTCAGTTTTCAACAACTGATGCAGCTTCTGAAATTTTTAAACTGATGTTAGAGATATTTTAGCATGAAAATAAAATGGAAAACGTCTAGATTTTGGCCTTTAAAATTGGCCCAAAATATCGGCAGCACAAATCGGCCATGGGCTGACCATGCCCTTCACAGATCAGCATTGATATCGGCAATAGAAGAAGCTCTACAACAGAGTTCCTGAACTAGAGAATGTTCTAGGGAATGGCCCGGTAAAGTCGCCGCTCATGCTGATTGGTTGTATCTCGGTAGGAAATGACATCAGCAGATGTCTCCAAACAACCAAGAGATGCTGGTAAAGCGGAATGGAAGGAAAAGAAAATAAGCAGTGTTGGCGCTGCTTTGAAATTGTTGTACCTAAACTACCAACGCCCAAAAATGCGTCATAATTTATGGTGGTTTGTGGTGTCTGAGTGGCATAAACGTCTTTTCTTCTGCTCATCAGAGGCCACTTTTTAGGCCGCACAGCCGCTCTCCTTGTCCCCTGAATGGAATAAATCACGATTTACTTTCAAATAATAAAACTTTCAATATCATTAATGTCCATGGATGCCTTTTGGAGCTGGTCAGCGATTTCACTTACTGACGAAACGGTTTTGATATGCCAACGTCATAGCAACGTCCTGAAAGGGACGATTTTGTACAGAGATGCGACGGCTGAGAGAACCGAGCCATCTTATTTTCCCTGTTACCCTCCTCCCCAGAAAGTTCCCAGAACTCCTTTGGTGAAAGCACGGGTCATTAGTGACACTCTTCTATCGTAAAAGATCATTATCCAAGGCAACATCTCAGTTTATCCCAGTTTTGTGACAGCAGCAGAGATGTTTGAGTTTCTGAAGATGGCTTCTGAAGTATCACACCACCTAGAATAACCTAGAATTACCACATTCTGATCAAATCCAGTCTCAAATTATTAAAAGTGATGCCTTTTTATCTCCAAACGCTTGCATAAAAAATATATATACAGTCCCACCATTACGTCTAAAAACTGGGCCGTTGAAAGATCTGAATCACGAAAGTTCTTGTTTGGTGTAGAAGGAAATGTGGAAGTCTCAGGTGATCCTGTTTCTGAAGCCAACTTCATCTGCCTTTAAAGTTTCTAACCACTGTTTGTTTGAAGAGAATGTTTGTCATTTTGTTTATGAATTTGCTTGATGAGTAAGAATAATAAATGGCGTTTTGGTGATTTTGGTTTGTTGTTTACAGATTGTACAAGCATGGTGTGTGGAGTTGCTGTGTTTTATAGCTTCTCTATCTGAAACAATGATTATTCCACGAGATCAGCAATGTAACCACCCTTTTCTCGGTCATGTGTTTTGTGTTTGGCCGTGAGAAGAAAATATTTCAGCTCACAGAGGAAGCGTTGCTGCCAGGGAGCTCTGTTATCCTGCGACTTGCCGCGTTGCTATGTTTTGATTGTTCTGTTTCAACGCACAGCTCGCTGTTTTGCTGTGTCCTAAACTCCAGACCCACAGGAAATAGCAAAAGGTTTAAGTTTTATTTCCCCTTAAATTAGTTGTAATCTTCTCAGGTCTCACGTAAACTGCAGCAATGCGTGTGATCTGAACATTTATTCAACTTTCCTTTTAGTCTCCAGTCTCGGTTCCTCATCGCATCCGTTCCACCAGCAGGAGCACCAGAGATGGAAAGACCCTGTCTGAGATTAACAGTGAGTACCCACACATTCCTACATTTTTAAAGTGTGTTGTCCTCCCCAAATGCTTCTGCCACCTGCTTTTGTCTCCTCACAGTTGGACAGGTGAAGTTCGATCGTCTTTTGAGGAAGGAGACAGAGCCGCATCATGAGCCAGTGAGTAATTAGGCGTGGCGTTATGTTTGTGCGCATGCCGGCGAGATTATGTTTCTGCACCAGCTTTGTTGCTTCCCACCTAATCACAGGAGGCACTTGACTAATCCTCGCTGGCATCAGTCTGCAGTGAGCCACGCTAATGACTCACAAACTGTTGAATGTGGTCGGATTTATGAAGCAATTCTGAAACGGGTTTTATTTAAAAAAAAATAAAACTCATTGAAGATTCTATTACTAGTTTGTTTCATAGATTTAGTCTAAAAAATACAACTACAGTTTCCATGTTAGATATTTTCTGATCAGGAGCTAAATGGAATTCAGTTGGAGAGATTTGAACTCCAAAAATGTGTCCCTGTTGTTTGCATGCCGTTGATTATTCTCTTTATTGAAAACACATGTAAGAAAATTGGAGGAACTCTGCTGATGGCGGGTTTTTTAATCCACAGCCTCTGTTTGGTGAATCAGAAAAACTGGATGAAGCTGATGGTTCAGATGCAGCCTCAGTGTGTTACCGTGTCTTTCCACTGGTATGCGTAGCGTAACGTCCTCGAAACGTATTACGCAGCAATTTGTTTCCGTTCTAGTGGATGGGTGTGTTTGCACCGGCCACGAAGCATCCCAGAAACTTTGAAAGTCTAATTTTTGAGCTCTGTGCTTCCAAAACGTGTCGAGCTCAGCGAATCTAATCAGGTCTGACAGGAAGTCAATTACAAAAGCAGTGTAAAACATCTGGAAACTTTGAAAGTAAAAGTCATGTGCAGTTTTCCAGTTGCTTAACTATTAAAAAAATAAGTATGTTATTTCCTCTGAAAATTTGGTAGCCGGGATAAACAGAACGGGAATTAAACCATAATCCTTTTCAGACACATGCTGTCGTCTTTCTCCATCCTTGTTATCGCATTAACTGCCAAAATCACGTGTGGTTCTGCATCTTTCCGGTTATTTAGTGACCTCGCAGGACGCTTTTGCTGCTGTTTATGGAGAAAACACATCTATTACGTTGCGCGCCGCCTACGCATCCAGTGGAAAGCCGGGGTTGTACTTTCACCCACTAACACTCAAGTTTTCATCCTTTTGCACTTTATCCATTCTCCCCTCTATTCTGATTGATTGACATCCCCTAAAATCAGATGAAAATCTTTCCTCCTTCCTCTGTGCTATTTTACCCCTTCATTTGATCAACATGTAGTCATTACTCAAATCTCATTCATTTGTTTTTTACACCTCTGTTAAAGATAAATCAAACTGACTTCTTATTTGATTTTTAAGTCAAAACGGTTGGTGCCATATATCAGCTTTACTAAGAAAAGATGAACAGGTGGTAACAGAAGTGAAGAAATGCAATTACAATGATCATTCTGTGAAATAAGAGTCGTTACGTAAAGTCATAGGCGTCATTTTAACCGGGGACGCCGGGGACATGTCCCCGGCAAAATTTGTGATTGGCAGCTGTGTCCCCCCCACTTTCAAAAACGCCTGCTGATGAGGATTTTTGTTTTACCAGCTCAGATCTTATCCAGGGGTCGGCACCCTGTTCCCATCAAAGAACCATTATTACCCGTTTCCCACGGTAATTTTGGACGGACCTTAATAAGCAGTGACTTAAGTGAAGCAGGCAGGTCGCGCTAGAAAATTTCGTTTAAAAAGATGTCATAAATGTGTTCCCCCGTCATTTTTATTACTAAAATATGAAGTAAAAACTCACAATTTAATTTTCATTCATTTGTCATTAATATGTAGTCTACACCCGTGCGTTAAGTGGACCATCTTCCAGTAAACGCACAGCATCCAGTCCACCTCTCCAAATGCGTAAAATGTGCATCAGCCGCTAGTTAGGCGCGCGCGCACCATCAGCTGATCAGCCCAGACAAGAGCAGAGCGACTAGAGAAAGACTAGATGATAATTGTGTCTGGATGTGGATGGAGATTACATTTTACAGCAGCCTGATCATCATTTAAATACGTAAACCATCACCTGTCTTCTAGTCCACGCTATCAGCATTATTTTATATTTTAATTGGTGTGTGTGTGTGTGTGTGTGTGTGTGTGTGTGTGTGTGTGTGTGTGTGTGTGTGTGTGTGTGTGTGTGTGTGTGTGTGTGTGTGTGTGTGTGTGTGTGTGTGTGTGTGTGTGTGTGAGTGAGTGAGTGAGTGAGTGAGTGAGTGTGTGTGTGTGTGTGTTTTCCACTTCAAACACTGGTCTAACCAACCAGACCAGCGTGTCCAGTAACACATTAATGTTATAATTAAACAGTTTCACTTCATGTAGGCTAGGAACATTTCACCTGCCGTGGCCCGACCGCTTCTGCTCCACATAAACTTTGTGCGTGATCAAATGTCTCTACGCTTCATGCGGAAGACGGGAACAAGCGCTGTTCAGCCAAAGTTTCATAATTTCATAAAAAGAACATTTTCCAAGTGACACATCCCTCAGAGAGACCGGGTTTCCAGAACGCTTCAGTGGGAGGAAATCATCGCATGCGCGTGGTTCTGCACTGCGCTGGAACCCCAGATCTTCAGCTCACTGTCCACCGGGGGCGCTCCGAGCCGCGCTGAACACAGTGTCCAGTATAAAGAGCTCTGATGTTCTGATGGGAATATTTTACCTCCGGGTGTGCGTTAACGATTAAAATGTCAGCTCATCCATGAGCATCCGTGTGCGTCGGGGTAATTTTTTCAAACCAAGCAACATCCTTGAGTACATCTGTCAAAATAAACAGTCAAATGGAAATATATGTAACCTGCCGTTTAACTGTTTTGCCTTCCTGTGAAGATTGTTGCAAAGAGAAACAATTAAACTTGATTAACCCCAGAGCCACGCAGAGAACCATGCAGTGCGCATGCGGGAAGATTCCTCCCACTGAAGCGAGTGTTTTCCAAACCCTGTCTCTCAGAGAGACTTGTCACTTAGAAAATGTTCCCTGATGATGAAACTTTGGCTGAATAGCGCTTGTTCCTGGCTCCAATGTGGCGACACATCCAGGAGCCGTCTGAGGAGAAGCCCAGAATCTCACATCCTCTTCAGCTCATAAAGTGCCTATATGATTACGCACAAGCGTGACCGGTCAACCACCGCAGACCGGGTTGGACCTGTTCAGGTTTACGCAGACAATCTTTACATTTAGAATTGGCATACAGGTGTAAAATTAATGCAGTAAAATATAAAGCATTTTATTTAAATATCCATTTATTATTTTACAAGCACAGAGAGTTGCATCAGATGGATGGAAGAGCCGCATGCGGCTCCAGAGCCGCGGATTGCCGACCCCTGTGCTAGCCTACTTTATTGTCCCCAGCAATTTTTAAACCCCACTCAAGTGTATGGTTATTGTCCCCAGCAATTCTGAAAACAAACTGACGCCCTTGCGTAAAGTGTTCGGACCCCTGTCAATTTTTCACTCTTTTTTTATATTGCAGCCATTGGCTAAAATAAATTAAATTCATTTTTCCTCAATAACATACACACAACACTCCATATTGACAGAAAAACACAGAATTTTATAAATGTATGCAGATTTATTAAAGAAGAAAAACTGAAATATCAAATGGTCCTAAGTATTTAGTCCGTATACAGCCGGTGTTTAAAAATAACAACAGTATCAATGACAATTCTATCATATGAACAACGGTGGTGCACTTAGGAGGTGAGGATTAAATAGAAAATAGTAATTTAATGTGTAAAAAAGTAATTTAATGAGTAAAACTGATGTATAGTTGATTTTTGTTTTTTGTTTAGATAGTTTATTATGTTATGGCTGACTTTTGGAGATATTCCATAAAGTTTATGAACATGATGTCATCACGTGACGGCACAGAGGAGCGAGAGACTCACGAAGAGAAAGGGGGAGAAAGATGGCAGGTTGTGCATTAACTGACTTGGTGTCGAAAAAAGGCACTTCTGTAGTTTGGAAGTATTTTGTGTATCAAGCGAATAATAATGATATTACATTTTATTTGTAGGCGCCTTTCAGACCCTCAAGGTCGCTGAACAACATAATTAAAAGCAGTACACAAATTGTACAAGCAGTGCCAAATTAAACAGAACAATAGCATCAATAGAACAACGCTGAAATAATAGAATTTAGCACTGACAATCACATAAAAAGATAAAATCACCTAGAGTACACCATACACCTGCCTAAATAAGTGGGTTTTGAGAAGAGATTTAAACTATTGTACAGAGGTGGTTAAGCGAATTGAGGATGGGAGTTTATTCCAAAGCCGAGGGGCTTGTGAGCCGAAGGGCTGAAGACGCAACAAGTTAACTTGTGGTATAGTCAGTGAGTTGCTGGTGGATGAACGGAGAGTGCGCGATGGGGTAGAAGAATGTTTGTTGGGTAAAGGGGTGCAAGATTATTTAGAGCTTTAAATGTCAATAATCGAATTTTAAATTGAATACGAGAAGCAGCTGGCAGCCAGTGCAACTCGGCGAGAACGGGTGTAATATGTTGTGAAAGCAGAGTCTTGGTGATGACGCGAGCTACAGAGTTTTGTACCAGCTGCTAGTCTCTTCCCCAGAGGTCGTGATAGGCCACTAGCTCACCATCGGAGTGGGTTTTCCACAGGGAAAGTTGTCGGTCCATAACACGCAATGTTGATGCTGGAAAAGTAAAATGCAGTTTTTTCGGGTGAAAAATCCTTGTAATAAGCTGTTTTTTTAATAATAAAATATTAATATTGTGTACGTTATTTTTTCAGTAATAGTATTGTTTGGGATTCAGTTTCTGAACAGCGAAGCTAATGTCACTTGAGGTTCACGTCATAATTTTTTATTGATAACGGTAATGCCGTACACTGTGGTGAAATGTGGAGAAAGTTTTAACGTTATCAAAATTTAGATACCGCCCAAGCCTTTTGGAAATATAATGGGTCACTCTGAGTTTAACATGCAGGCTTATTGTGAATAGTCTTCTACCTCTATTTCCCGCATTAGCCTCTAATAGAAAATGGACGGGGAAACGTTTGGATTAGAAAAGCCTGTAAGATCTACGTCACACTGAAAATTTGCATTCATGGACTCACCCATCTTGGCTCTTGACAGGGAAGGCTGTTCAAGAGAGAATGTCTCAGCTAGTAGAAGCTACTTGTTAGCATTAGCAACTCCACAACATGGCAGACCTCCTTCAGACTTGTGTTATTTTTGATAAAGATAAAACATCAACTTTGCAGAGAAAACAGTCAGTGGAAGTGTCACGTTGCTGTTACCCAGTCAGAAGTGAGGTTTCCGAATATCAGGAATAAAAACCTGCCGTAGTCTGCTGCCTCCTCCTCTGACTTACTTTTACTTCCTGAAACAGGAGCGCTAGAGCTTTTTCCCACAGAGATCGCTCACAAGACATTTGTACTAGGGACCACTGCAAATGTGTTTTTATTTTTATTTATTTATTTTTTTGCTTTCAAGATTTTTAACATCCATCCTCACATGTACCTCCCCCCCCCCCCCCTCTTGATATTATTAATATTCTAGGATCTTCTATCTCACTGATCTGTTTTCTTCTGGGCTTATTTTTGGCTTTAATTTTCACCCGCCATCCTCTTTCTCGCCCACACTCCTCCATTCCTTCCTGATTTCTACATCAGTCCAGGTTTATGTATTAACTGAGGTCTCTCTCGCTCTGTCTTGCTGACCAGTGTGATTCTGAGCCCTATCTGGACTGTGTTGAGGAGCTCTACTATACCGCGAGATCTAATCTGGTAGTACTCCCTCTGTATCTGCCTCATCCGTCTATCCGTCTATCAGTTAATTAGTAGACCTTTCTGTTTTTCATCACTTCACAGCTCTTTCTTACACTCCCTCTTGTTCATTCATGATCTTTTATGAAAGATGAATCCTTGTTCTTTTTGTTTCAGAGCTGTTGTCATCTCTCTCTCTCACAGTGCTGATTCTTCAACACGTTTTTTAATTATCTCTATGCTAGTTCGTTATTTTCTGATCTGTTCCTCTTTGGTCTCTCTTTTCCTTGATTCCTGTCTCACTATCTGGTGTTGTAGTTGTCACTGTGTGCAGATTACTGTTATGTTTGTTATACATGTGATGCACACTTACAAATGTACAGAGGAAGGTTGGAGGTCAGATGCAATGACTGAGCTGCAACCATAAAGGCTATTAGTAGCACTTGCATCCATGCATTCAATCCTGTGGCGTTTGCTGTCTTTAATGTCCTCTTTAAACACATTTCTCTCCTCAGACTGTGTTTTCTAACCTCTTATATCCTGCACTCGATCACAGTCATTGGCCCTTTATTCTTCCACCCCATGTGTTTTCCTGTTGCACGCTTTGTTGTCTCGTCTCAGTAAAATGTTGTAAAATGACACAATCATGTCCTGACATTATGGTTTACATTGCATCATATTGATCATAATAATACTAACCATGCATCATCTGATCCAGGTGTATTTAAAACAAAGGGAAATCAGATGTTTCTGCCTGGTTTTGCCACTTTAATCATCAGTGCACATGACTTACTGTTGCAAACAAGCTGTTTTTCCAACCCACCGCTGTTGCAACAGTATGAGTAGGTTTCTTTTTCACATTAGCATAAAATAATCCTAATCTATGTTTAACTCATTCACTGCCAGCTGTTTCCTGATCAGAAAAGCCCTTCGCTGCCAGCGTTTCTCAGCATTTTCACTGTTTTTTTACGAGTCACAGAACGTTGCGCGCTTGGATGATAACAATGCCAAAACTACCAAAACAAAGAGGAGACTCACCATGGAAGAATCCGTGCGTTTGGAGCGTTATCCGTTCTTTCATAATCCGTCGTCAAACTGTGATCGGCAGAAGCTTTTCCGGTTCGCGCTTCACTTTTTTACAGCAGCGGCCCAAAACGATCTCCTAACACGTGGATTTTCTGCTTCCTGATCACGTGTCGTGTGACGTACGCATTTGAAGATTGGCTTTAGAGCTGGGATTTTTGTTTTCATGGTGCGGGGACTCGTTCCAACCCCACACAGTAAAAAAAATGCAAATGACGACTTTAGTCGTCATTGGCTGTTAATGAGTTAAAAGACACTATCATAACCTGCATGTGCATGTGAGAGGACTTCTTTCAAAAATCAGCAAAGCTTTATTAGCTGTGGAAGAAATAGCCTCATCAGAATATGACTTATTTTATTCTGTGAAATTATGTATTTGCACTTTTTTAATGGTATACTATGCAGCTTTTTCATATTTGTTTATACATTTCTTGAGCCAGTGTGTGCTAAAATGAGGGTGCAGGGTTGATGAAATGTCACTCAGACCCCATCGTCCTCTGTGGCCAAAATATCACATGTGCCTGGTGCTGTCTGGAGTCTGTTTCCAGCACGATTCCTGCATGCTTTAGATTGTGAACAGATGATTTGTTTGATTTAGAAGAAAAAGAAACAATCTTTACATGTTTCCCACGCACCCTCCAGGTGAGGGATCAGACAAAGAGCAGCCCGAAGACCTCTTATGATGAATTAAATGAATGGAACCATGTTCCCTCGCCCGGATGTGGATCACCGGGGCCCCCCTCTGGAGCCAGGCCTGGAGGTGGGGCACTTTGGCGAGCGCCTGGTGGCCGGGCTTTAACCCATGGAGCCCGGCCGGGCACAGCCCGAAGAGGAAACGTGGGTCCCCCTTCCCATGGGCTCACCACTCATGGGAGGGGCCAAAGGGTTTGGGTGCAGTGTGTGACGGGTAGTAGTCGAGGGCGGGGACTTTGGCGGTCTGATCTTCGACTACAGAAGCTGGCTCTTGGCTCATGGAATGTCACCTCTCAGGTGGGGAAATAACCTGAGTTGGTGTGTGAGGTTGAAAGGTTCCGACTTGATATAGTTGGACTCACCTCTGTGCTTATGCACCAAACTACAGTTCAGACTACCCACCCTTTTTAGAGACCTTGGAGGGGGTGCTATAAAGCGCTCCCTCGTTCTGCTGGGGTACTTAAATGCTCACGTGAGCAACTAGCTTGGCAAGCTAGACTAAATAAAGCAGGGGTCACCAACGTGGTGCCCGCAGGCACCAAGGTGCTCTCGGGGTAACCACGGGGTGCCCGCAGGCTATGTTCTAAAAATAGAACTAGTCACCACTGAACTTGACTTGATATCTCCTTTTTTTTATTGTGTTGCTTTTGTTTTTGAGTCACAGTTGCATCAATGCTTATTTGAAAATGAAACTATTAACGAATAATTTTTAAGAACAAAAATATTTTATATTTTGTATGTTTTTATATTTTACCATCGACATATAAATAGTACTTTACCGTACGTGAATGTGGCAGTAGTGCAATCACATAGGCTGCAAGCTGTCATTAAAAACCGTAGAAGAAGAAGACGTAAACATGAACTTTCTTTGACCTACTAGTTCGATTCGGCGCGGCGTTAAGCTAGCGGGCGGGTGCTGTCCCAATGAGGAGCTGGATACCAACCGAAAATGGCTGAAAAACGAAAGAAAACATATAATTTTCATAGTGATTGGGAGGAGGAGTTCTTTTTTACGCTCGTGAGAGAAAAATGTGTGTGTCTCATTTGTGGAATGACTGTGGCGACAGCAAAGCGGCACAATGTGGAGAGACACTTCAGTACTTGTCATAAAAGCTACAATGCTAGCTACCCACCTAGCAGCGCTCTACGGACAGAAAAAGCACGTGAGTTAAAGGCAGCTTTGGGCAAACAGCAGTCTTTATTCAAGAAGCCAGTGGAAAAGTCACAAAAAACAACAGAAGCGTCATTTAGAGCCAAACATTTTTTGATTAAGAACAAGAAGACATTTTCAGATGGAGAAGTTTTCAAAGAAGCAATGATGATAATCGCAAAGACTGTATTCAAAGATGAGAAGAATGGAACCGATGTCATCTCCACTCTCCAACGTCCAACTGGGCGCAAGTACAATGGTAAGAAGAGTGACGGCTATGTCAGAGAACTTAACAGAGCAGCTGGAGCAGGATGTGGCAACATGCAAGTGGTTTAGCATCCAGTGTGACGAGTCTGTGGACTGCAGCAGTTCAGCACAGCTGATGGTCTTTATTCGTATGGTTTTTGATGACTTCTCCACTAAAGAGGAACTTCTGACATTACTGCCCCTCCAGACAACTACAAGGGGAGTTGATATCTACAACGCAGTTAAGAGTTTTCTTGTGGGAAAAAAAGTACCACTAGAAAAGCTGGTGTCCATGACTACAGATGGGGCTCCTGCCATGATCGGCCGGCACGCAGGTTTCATCGCGCACTGCAAAGGTGACACAGACTTCCCAACATTTCTACATTACCACTGCATCATTCATCAGCAGGCGATATGTTCAAAAGTGACCGGATTTGAGCATGTGATGACTCCTGTTGTGAAGATCATAAATAGCATCCGTTCCAAAGCCAAACAGCACAGGATATTCAAAGTGCTATTGGAGGAGCTGTCAGCGGAATATGGCGACCTGTTACTACACACAGAAATCAGATGGCTCAGCAGGGGACGGGTTTTACAACGTTTTTTTTTCACTTTTGTGTGAAATCAAGAAGTTCATGCAATCCAAAGGTGAAGACATCTCATTGCTGGAGGACATTGAATGGATACTTGACCTTGCATTTTTAACGGACATCACTGGGAAACTTAACCATTTGAACTGTGAGCTGCAAGGCAAAGGTAAAACTGTTGCTGACATGATAAGTGCTGTAAATGCATTCAAAGCCAAGATGAACATTTTCTCTGTGCATTTACAGAAAAAAAGGGTGCTGCACTTTCCTGCTGTGCAGTCAGTGCTGAATGACAATGCTTCTGCATCTGAGACTTTTGACAAAGTTGTTGACAAATACTCTGAAGTCATTAACAGACTTGGACAAGAGTTTGAGAATAGGTTTCGTGACTTTGATCAACTTGAGCCATGTGTGTCATTCATTTCCAATCCTTTTGTGCAAGTAGAAATTGCATGCATTGCTGAGCAGCTAAGTGCAACATTCAGCTTGAATGCTGGGGAGGTGGAGATAGAAATTATAACACTGCAAAACGACCTCCATCTCAAAGCCCATCAAAGTGAACCAAACTTTTGGTGCCTTGTGGATACAGAGAAGTACAAAGGTGTGTGCACAGCAGCTATGAAGGTTGCCTGCATGTTTGGTTCAACTTATCTCTGTGAATCAGCCTTTTCTGACATGAACTTCATAAAGAGCAAACACAGAACACGCCTTACTGATGCTCATCTACATGACTCAGTCAGAGTTGCAGTATCAAGTTACACCCCAGATTACAGCAAACTGGTGAACAGCATGCAATGCCAGGTTTCCCACTAATAGAAAAAGAAATATGCCAGATGATTTCAGCTAAACAGCTGCATGGCAAAGTTCCAAGATATTCAAGCTGTTATGTACAGATTTAGTTTAAAATGCTAAAGATTTTGTGTTAAAAAGTTGTGTTTTGCAGGACTGAAAGGTTACATAACTGACAATTTACCTAGTCTGATTAAGATTGTTTCAGAAGTAGTTAGTAAAAATGGCATATGTTTTTCCAAGAAATGTTGCAGAGGTGATTATTTGAATATGAGAGACAACTGAAATGCACTGGGATAAAAAAAAGTGTTACATGTTGAGATTTATCTGTTTCCTGCCTTAAATCATTATTATTATTTGAGAAGCAAATAAAATGTTGTCAGACATATCAATATTGAATTAAAAATAAAAATAAACTAAGTTTTCAGAAGTGTGTCATGTACAGGTAGCCCTTCGTATTACTCCGTACCCTTTAAGTTGCTCTCGGTTTCAAAAAGGTTGGTGACCCCTGTTTTATTTAGTCTGACCATGCTCCATTGACGGCTTTTGGTTGTGGGGCGGGTTCTACCGTTGTCTTTCAAATGATCTCCGCATTCCACTGGACAATAAATGTGACATACTCTTGTTTCACTCTGTTGCATCATCCCACCCACCAGGCATAGAGTGCCCTGATTGGCCCACAAAGCGGATAAAGCTCTGTGATTTGTTCACTAAGCAGATAGAGCACTATGATTGGCCCACCATTATGGACCAATCACAGCTCTTTATGTGTTTGAAACCCCTCTAGAGAGCTGTGATTGGCTAGCCAGAGTCCTGGTAGGAGCTGCTGAGGTTCCAATGGAGCGTGTCTAGACCAAACTTTGCAAAGCAAGAATTGGGTCTAGTTCACTAGGCTAGTGGGCAACGACAGTGAGACCTAGAGAGGTGTGATTGGGAGGAACGGCCCCCCGATCTAAATTCGAGTGGTGTTTTGTTATTGGACTTCTGTGCCAGTCATGGATTGTCCATAATGAACACCATGTTCAGACATAAAGGTGTCCATATGTGCTCTTGGCACCAGGATACCTTAGGCCGCAGCTTAATGATCGACTTTGTTGTTTTTTCATCTGACTTGCGGCCGCACACTTGGATATTCGGGTGAAGAGAGGGACGGAGCTGTCAACTGACCACTACCGGGTGGTGAGTTGGCTCAGATGGTGGGGGAAGATGCCGGTCAAACTAGGCAGGCCAAAATGTATCGCGAGGGTCTGCTGGGAACATCTGGCAGAGTCTCCTGTCAGAAGGAGCTTCAGTTCCCACCTCCGACAGAACTTCCAAAATGTTCCGGGGGATGCGGGGGACATTGAGTCTGAATGGACCCTGTTCCGTGCCTCCATTGTTGAGGCAGCTGACCGGAGCTCTGGTCGCAGGATCGTCTGTGCCTTTTGTGGTGGCAACCCCCGAACCCGCTGGTGGACACCGGTGGTTAGGGATGCTGTCAAGCTGAAGAAAGAGTCCTATCAGATCTTTTTGTCCTGTGGGACTCCATAGGCAGCTGACGGGTACCGGCAGTCCAAGCGGAACGCGGCTCAGGTGGTCGCCAAGGCAAAAACTCGGGCATGGGAGGAGTTCGGTGAGACCATGGAGCAAGACTTCCGTACAGCTTTGAGGAGATTCTGGACTGCCATCCGGCGCCTCGGGGAGAAAGCAGTGCGCTACCAACACTATCTATAGTGGGGACGGTGTGCTGCTGACCTCTACTCAGGATGTTGTGGATCGGTGGGCAGAATACTTCAAAGACCTCCTCAATCTCACCGACACGTCTTCCAGTGAGGAAGCAGAGTCTGGGGACTTTGGGTTGGCCTCTCAAATCTCTGGTGCTGAGGTCACTGAGGTGGTTAAAAAGCTCCTCTGTGGCAAGGCTCCAGGGGTGGATGAGATCTGCCCGGAGTTCCTTAAGGCTCTGGATGTTGTAGGGCTGTGGTGTATTCCAACTACAGGGGGATCACACTCCTGAGCCTTCCTGGTAAGGTCTATTCAGGGGTTCTTGAGTGGAGGGTCCGTCGGATTGTTGAACCTCAGATTCAGGAGGAGCAATGTGGTTTTCGTCCTGGCCGTGGAACAGTGGACCAGCTCTATATCCTTAGGGGGATCCTGGAGGGTGCGTGGAAATTTGCCCAACCAGTCTACATGTGTTTTGTGGATTTGGACAAGGCATTTGACCACGTCCCTCGGGGGGGTCCTGTGGGTCCTGTGGGGGGTACCCCGGAGTATGGGGTACCAGGCCCTCTGATATGGGCTGTTAGGTCCCTGTATGATCGGTGTCAGAGCTTGATCCGCAATGCCGGCTGTAAGTCGGGCTCGTTCCCAGTAAGAGTTGGACTCTGCCAAGGCTGCCCTTTGTCACCGATTCTGTTCATAACCTTTATGGACAGGATTTCTAGGTGCAGCCAAGGTGTAGAGGGCATCCGTTTTGGTGGCGTGAGGATCAGGTCTCTGCTTTATGCAGATGATGTGGTCCTGTTGGCTTCATCAGAACGTGATCTTCAGCTTTCGCTGGGATGAGAATCTGCTCCTCTAAATCTGAGACCATGGTCTTGATTCGGAAAAGGGTAGAATGCCTTGTTGAATGTCTTGGTGAAGAGAGAGCTGAGTCAGAAGGCGAAGCTCTCGATTTACCAGTCGATTTACGTTCCTACCCTCACCTATGGGTAGTGACCGAAAGAACGAGATTGCGGATACAAGTGGCCGAAATGAGTTTTCTCCGAAGAGTGGCTGGGCTCTCCCTTAGAGATAGGGTGAGAAGCTCGGTCATTCGGGAGGGGCTCAGAGTAGACCCACTGCTCCTCCACATCGAGTGGAGCCAGTTGAGGTAGCTCGTGCATCTGGTCAGGATGCCTCCAGGACGCCTCCCTGGTGATGTTTTCCGGGCACGTCCAACCGGGAGGAGTCCTAAAGGTAGACCCAGGACACGGTAGAGGGACTATGTCTCTCACCTGGCCAGGGAACGCCTTGTGATTCCCCCGGACGAGCTGGCCCAAGTGGCTGGGGAGAGGGAAATCTGGGCCTCTCACCTTAGGCTACTGCCCCTGCGACCCGACTCTGGATAAGCGGATGAAAATGGATGGATAGATGGAAGAAACAATATTTTCTGTAGCGCCTCTCAAGATAAAAAACAACTGAAGTGGCCTGGTTAATTGTCACTCGATCAAGTCGGGTGGCTTTTAGCCAATCAAATGACGCTTCTCTGATCACGTGACACCCGTGAGGCGTCGACTTGATCAAGTGACTTTTACTTTGGTTTGTGTCACCAGGAGGTCGCCTCATCTGTTGTTGAATTTCAGGTGTTGAATTTTAGAAGATAAAATTCTGCAATTATGTTTTACGGCTGATGTTTTTGCTGGTGTATTGTAAGTTTAAAAATTCAAATACATTATTTCACAGAATGAAACATCAGTGTCTAAAAAATGTCACATTCTGGTGAGACTGTATCTTCTATAATTGGCTGGCATGACTTATCTTCTGTTTTTCTGCTACTTTCCTTTCACTTTCTGTGGTCTAGCAACATTGCATTATTATCTGATTGCTTTAGTTTCACTGGATTCTCACAGAGAGAGTATAACTTTATGGTGATTTTCAAGCCCAGATTTGAGGCCTTGCTGCCACACTGACACCCTCGTTGGTGATTTGGCTAATTGTCATTAGCCTAAATGTAGTTTTTATGTTAACACATTCACTACCAATGACGACAAAAGTCGTCATTTGCATTTTTTTACTGTGTGGGCATCGGAACGAGCCCCCGCACTGTGAGAACAAACATCTCAGCTCTCAAGCCGATCTCCGTCCGCATACGTCACACGTCACGTGATCAGGAAACAGGAAATCCATGTGTTAGGAGATCGTTTTGTGCTGCTGCTGTAAAAAAAAAGTGAGGCGCGAACCGGAAAAGCTTCTGCCAATCACAATTCAACAACGGATTATGAAAGAACGGATTACGCTTGAAACACGCAGATTCTTCCTGATGTAAGAGATGAGTCTCCTCTTTGTTTTGGTTGTTTTGGCGTCGACATAATCCTAGCGTGCAACGTTCTGTGACTCTTAAACAGTAAAAACGGTGAGAAACGCTGGCAGCGAAGGGCTTTACCGATCAGGAAACGACTGGCAGCGAATGAGTTATTAAGTAAACTAAATACACAGCATGTGTAAACGAGCCTTCTATGGGGAGCCTAAGTCACACCCATCTACTAACGCATCATGGGTCCCCGGAAGAATGAGAACATGAATGCAAGTCAATGAGACAAAAAACGCTCTTTACTAATGCCGCTTGTTTTGTGCCATGGATTTCACATATGATGTCCGTGAATTTTAAACACACCTTTTTATGCCAAGAAAGTGCTTGTTTTCGAATGGGGGGGAACATTATTTTAGGTTTTGTGTGGAAATAAGTCCAGGACTACAAAGCGTCATCGAACCAGACATGGAGAAAATAGAAGGAAAATGGCTGTAAGTTCAAAATCTGGCCATGTGGTAAGTAGCAGCTACGCTAGGAGAATGATGATCCTGTGGTGACATCATATATGCGACGTCTGATTTGTAGTCATGTTAATTATGAACTTTTACAAGCTGATAAATCTCGAAGTACGTGACTGGCATGGTCGAAACGCACATCATTACGTTTCATTTAAATTGAAGTAGAACATATGTGTGATCCAGGGTGTAAGGGAAAGCGGATTAGATAATAGCTTTTTAGCCCCGTTGACTTGCATTTATTTTTTCGTTCTTCCGGGGACCCATGGGCCGACTGGAAAGGGAGGAGACTTGGACTCCTTATAGTGAACGGGAACAAAGAGCTAACCTGTTTTTGTGTTATAGGACTTGCAGCTGGATTATAGCCCTGATTCACCAAACCTGCTGGGAGAAAACAAGTAAGTCTCGTTGTTTTCTGATTCTGGATCTTTATTCTTCTTCAGCCTTTCTTTATCTGTATCGACAGACAAGAGCTTTTTGGATTAATTAGTGAGGATTTTAAGTTTTTAACCTTTTTTCTTTTATTCACATTTATTTCATTACCAGGAGCCTCCTTAAATCTGTGGAGGAGGAGCTTCAGCAGAGGTGAGTCAGACTCTTTCTTCTCGGTTGACCGATGCCTCGATCTGCTGGTCTTTTAACCGCACTCACTCATCAGCCAATCACTTAACGGCAGGACTAATGGTGCCAGTCACATGCAACTAACGCTGCTGTAATGACTTCAGGCTATCGCAGCTCTTGGCGCTCTAGAAGCTGCTGTTTGGCTTTTGTTTTTCTGCCGTGGCTATATAATCAAGAGAACGCTGTGCTGCTTAGGAGCTTCTTGCAGAGTGCATGACTCACACACACACACACACACACGCACTGTTCATTCACACATTGTCTACTTACTGTAATTAAAGATGCATCGTGTTTGCAGCATTGTACTGGCAAGTCTCTGGAAAAATGTGTTCAAAAGCTGGTGATTGTAATTATTATGTGCTTTGTGATTTTTCTGTGAGGCCTTCTTAATATCAGCCAAACTAGTGTTTGAGTTTAAAAGAGAATCTCAGGATGTGTGTGATCGGTCACTTTCATTTTTGAATTTTATAGAGGATAATTCTGAGAAGTTTAATGTAATCTGTCGAAGAGATGCAGAAAAGTATAGATTTGTAGGAAAAAGAGTCTTTTAATTATTTAGTTGGACGTGTAGAAGTAGAGTCTGGCCTTGGTGGAGATGTCAGACGTAGTTTATGAACCAAGCTTTACTCAGCTCTCCCTCCCCCTCCTCCCTCTGCCTTCATCCTCTTCCTCCTGGTGTACTCCCATCTCCTTTGCTTGCTCCTCTCACCCCTCTGTCTCATTTTCTTTCCCTTTTCTCCTGCAAAAACCTCTACTTCCCATTTTCCTTTCCTTTCAACGCCCCTCCTGTCTTCCCCTCCTCTCCCAGGGGCCATGTGGCACACTTAGGGGATGATGAGGATGATGATGATGGTGCAGATGATGATGAAACTCACACTCAGTAAGTTCCTCTCTCAGCCTCAGAAACTGGAAGCCTCCTCTTTCATGTCTCCTCGTCCCAGTTTTTTTAATTATTATTTTCCCCGCGTGGCCTTTCCTCAAAAGGGAAAAGATGAGGATGAGGAGGAAACATGGAGGAAGGCTTCCTGTATTTGCCACAGTTTCATCCACGCATCTCGATGCAGCACACCAGCCATCGCGCCACATATGCCACCTGTGTGTGTGTGTGTGTGTGTTTCACGCTGTTTCTGCTGCAATTTGGTGTGAAGTTTTAACGCTACTAACATTTATCTTGAGCTCATAAAGTCACAGTTGGTGGTGTTTACTCTTAACTGGTTGTGAATGTGTCCATAGACGCCCCATCGATTGAGATCTGAAAATGAAGACTTCTTCAGAAATAATCAGATTATAAATCAGAAGAATCTTGAAGTAGCATTAAAATCTCACCCAAGTTCACTTTCATTTTTTCTACATAAACCCTGTCCTAATCGCTGTCCTCCCCGCTTTGTGTGTGTGTGTTGTCTGTACTGTAAAAATGGTTGCACTGGCACCTAGCCCCATCTCCTGCTGTGTAAAACCCAAAGTGTTCCTTCATGACTACATTTTTCCACCACAGTCAGAAAAGGGATCTTGTGCTTTTACGTTGTTGGATTTTAGCTGTTCGCTACAGAGCACACGACCTTGTGTTGGATACGTTCTTAGACTGACTGCAGCCAATTGGATGTAGCTGTTTCCAGCTATTAATGCACTAAATAAAGCTCCAGGACTAACATCATTTGGTACAATATAACATTTGATATCTGTTAACATACACACAAGACTTAAAATTTCTGTTTAACACTTAATCCTTAATTTAAACATTGTTATTTTGTCTCATTGCTCATCTCCCAATGGGACACACTAAATGGGGTTCCACAAATCTTGCTGCTTCCTCTTCAGAAAAGTGCACACACCGGCATTCTACCCCCCACAGTGGGAGCTTTGTCTACTGTAATAGTGTAAACTTTGTTTGTACTAATAAGGTTTACAGTATTATATTTCCACCCACAGTTAAATCTGTGTGTATGAGTTCAGCTGGTATCTGACTGGGCTGTGACTGTAACTGAGAAGCATACAGATGTTCACTTATAGATTGACCCTGAGTTGATTCGTACGACACTTGGGACGAGTTTTATATCTCGGCCTGGTCACACAAGGCATTTGTAAATGGATACAAACCGCTCCTGTCGCAAAGTGTCTCCATTTGTTTTTAGATTTTATTTTATTTCAATTTGAAACAAGTTCCAGATACAAACAACAAATATTTTGAAAGCAGGCTTGGATTTATGACTCTTAAAGGTGCGTGTACTTTCTTGGAAAAAGCCATTCAAGCGAACTACGTTTAAATAATAGTCAAATGTCCGACCCACTTTCTTCAGACTCCCCCCTCTGGAGTCATAGAATCTGATGGTTGCAGAAAATGGTACAACACCGGTGTCGGTACAGGATCGGCTCAGGGTCCTTCGACTGCCGATGACATCACATTACTGCAAATCTACTCAGCTTTCACACATACGTTTTGGAAAGACATCAGCAGTTTGGTTAATAAATTCTTGTTTGTTAACACCTAAATGTTTTCTTTATAATTGTAATTTGTTAATAAAAACCATATTATCTTTGATTTGTAAAGAAACTGCATAAAACCAACATCAGACTGACAAAAAATAGAACAGTTCTTATATGTGAAGCCATATCTGTTTGTATTAATGTGGAGTTCGTCTGTATATTTCCTTAGTTGTTATCTAAATACATTATTTGACTCAAAATATTGCTTGGTGTCTTTCAATGAAGTTCTTATATTTTATTTTGCCCCATTTCATCAACAACAAGAGCTTTTGAGGGTCACCGTTTATCATTTGCTTATATTTTACATTTCCTTTAGAAATTCAAACATATTTTCTCCAAAAAGTGTTGATTTTTGGACGACAGGACTACAACCGCTGAGACTACGACAGCAAATTTGTTCTGACCAATCAAAGTCATAACGTGATAACGTCACTTCCGTAAGCTTCATGTTCAGCCAATCAATTACTTTGACGTCATCGGCAGTCGAAGGACCCCGAGACGATCCTGTACCGACACCGGCTTGTGACTCTAACGTGCGAGTGTTACACACACCTCTGCTGAGCTGCTGTGAAGGTCAAAACTTCCAGAGCCAACTCTGAACCAAACAGAACACCAACCACCCCCACCTGCCTTTAGTATGCTAGCATATGTAGCGTGTGGTGTTTTTATGGTGATAAATAGGTCATTTGTAGCAGTTCATTGCCAACGACAGTCCAGGGAAACCCCACCACTAACAAGTAGAAACTTCCAGAACCAAATACTTCTTTGTCTGCAAAGGTGCGAAGACATGCAGCGGCATTATCCTTCAAAGCATAGGGTCAGAGGGCAGGCGTATGGGTGGGTTATTATCCAACCACTGATACCAGGGACCAGAACACTGATTGGTAGAGGTTTGTCTGGGATTTTATGTTTCAGAGGTAATTAAATTTTTTATTTATTTGACAAAATATAAAACTTTTTGGTTGCCATCAGTATTAGAGGAGCGTTTCAAACAATATGGCAAAGATGTTGCAGAAAAGCATCTCCCACTGCACCTTTTGGAGGAATTTCTGAACCTTCGTGAATTCTGTAGCCGATTTATCTCCAGCAGCCCCAGCCCAGTCAGATCCCGCTGTACTGATGAATGAAGTTCATATTTTATTTCTCTGAAGTGTGTGTTCATCCACCACTCGACTTCATCACTGTGACTCAAGCCGTTTTCACTCATGTGCTGCAGGCCTGAAATGTGCCCGGTTATGAGAACACACACATACATGTGTATTTTTGGGATTTGATCTTGTTTTCCAGTTCACACACCCCTTATTGTGAAATCTTCAGAGGATCAGCGATGTGTGTTTGCCTCCCACTCACTCAGATGTTGTGCTGTATAGAATTGATGCAGCTTTGAAATCGACACAAGAGCAGCGATGCAGGAGCCTCGTTCATTTTAACTGGCTAACAATGTAAACTCCACTTTGCGTCATTTTCATCTCACCTTCTGAAAAGCTCCACACAGTTTCCCATCAGCAGCATTAGTGACTGACAGCTGCAGAAAACATCTCAACAGATCATGAGTGAAAACGGCTTTATTGTGTTTTGTGTCCTTCAAACCACGACTCGTTCTCGTTTTGATTGCTGTTATCATGTAACTTTGTACATCTAAGGTGTAAACCTTGTTGTGAGTTCATTTTTCGCTATTTCAGCTCTTGTCTACAGTCAAACTCATTATTTTCTGTGTAATTGTGAAAAAGGTGAATTTTTGCACCCAAAATGTTTTAATACAAGAAAATGAGTGTAACCTACTGAAGCTGTGCTTAATGAGGAAAGCAGATGTGACCATTAAAACCGACCCTTTAGTACTAACGTGTTTATCATGTTTATGTTGTTTTGTTGCAGTTTTTAATCTTAAATTCTTTATATTCCCACTCTCCAGTAAATCAAGTACTATCAAAAGGCCCAAGGACCCGCCCCCTCTCCCTCCTAAGGTAGAAACAATTGCATTTTTCACAGACTGCTTTTAATTTCAATATTTTCCCCCAGGAAAATAAAATCCATCTTGGTGTTTATTTCCTCCAGCCGAAATCCCTCAGCTCATCCAAACCGCCTCAACAGAAGCCGGATGATAGTCATTCACACCACGAGGACGACAGCGGAGGAGGAGGTACCATCAAACGTTGTCCAGTTCCAGAGACGGCGAGCCCCGCCAAGCCTGCCTCTAACGTCCCCCCAAGGCCTCCACCCCCGAAGCTGCCGCCCCACCGCCGCAGTAGCCTAGGTAACGACAGCCCGCAGCACAAAGACGTGGAACACTCTGCTCCAGAGGATGATGATGGGAGCTTTAGGCATTTCTGGGAGTGGCTCCATACGCCTCACACAGAGGAGGAGCTGGAGGAGGCGTGGGAGGTGCTGAAGGAGGTGAAAGAGGAGCAGGAGAAGGAAGAGAGTAAGAGCAGCTGATTGGTAGCTGGTAGCATCCTCAGACCCCGTTGTTTCCTTCAGTTGTCTGGTCTCCCATTAGTCGGTCTCTGTAGACTAATCAAATTAATTGTTTCATGAGTCCATTAACAACAATACTGCTTTGTCTTTTTTGTTTTTATTTAAAGTTTATTCTGTTTACCAGCTCCCTCTAAGTTTGATTGTGTCTTCTGAAACCTGAGTTTTTAATCCAATCAACCAGAAGCTGCTAACACCTTCTCCTTACCTCCTAGGAGGGAGACGGAAGAGGAGAAATCCTAAACTTTGTCTATCAGATGCATATGGAAGTAAAATGGTGCTTAAAAAATTCTGTTTTTGAATGTGGAATCGACTAGAGAAAGTTGTGTTAGTGACAGAATCCAAGTTTAAACTGGGACGATACCAGTATAGGAGCCTCTCCTCCTTTTAAGATGTAAGTTTGCTTTGGTGTTTGGTCCTTCAAGGATTATTGTGACTTACTCTCTGATGGACATCGTCTTTTTTTCTGTCATTGTGGACAGGGCAGGGGTGCTTGACTGCTTAAAGAAATGTATTTGTCATTATTGGTAAAGTCGATTTTAAGTTCTGGTTCCTACCAAAGTGCTTCACTTGTCCTATAAAAGTAGTTAAAGCTGCTAAACAACAACATGGTCTGTTAGCCATCATCCCTGGGCCGCGTCCGCCTGATCCCAGAACCCACATTGTCAGAGGAAACAAGATGGTGCTAAACACCAGTTGCTGTTTTCTATGTCCAAACCTCTTTTGTTTTCCACAACTTCAAATAGTGTTTTTATGGGTTGTTGGTTTCAGACCGGGCTGTGTTATAGAAGGATCTTTGTGCGCGTGTGTTAGTGGCTGTGTGGCAAAACACACCATCTATACACAACGTACACTATTAAAGGGACTTTACGGACTTTAGAATTTGTATGCTCGCGATTGCCCCCTCAGGCCAAAAGCGTAACGGCAGCTTCAATAGTAGGCTCGTGCACGAGGCGCGCATGCTGTACGTGCACACTCCTTAACGAAGATAACAGCTGAGATAGTCCCGCGTGTGTGTGGCCCGGAGGACAGAGTACAGGAGAACGCGCAGCTAATTAATTAAATAATTTGGTTCTGTACCTTTCTCTTCAGCACAGCCGACAAAGGTTTATGATGGGTCAGTCCTCCTGCATGCTCAGATCATTCCCTTCCCTTGCTTGAAAAATCGTTCCAAAATGAAAGTTGAACCCACATCTTTTTTATCTGTGAATTCAATGCCGTTCGGCGAGTCTCGAATAAAAATTTGGGCATCTTACTGTAGAAAAAATACCATTCATGTAAAAAAGAAACTAAATGAACTATGTTCCCACCCAGAATCAAACCCAGGTCTTCTGCACGAGTCAGACATCTTACTAGGTGAGCTAAAGCGCCAGTGACATGCATTGTATCTGTAACATTTATATCCTTGATGACAGCTGAAACAATGTCAAACCAAAGAACGGTTTGAAGCGAAAATGGCTATTTTGTTGCTAATGTGCAGGAAATATCTAGAAGGAAGTAGCTAAGGGTCCTCAGAAATGTAGCTAGGTTCATCACTAGGCGTTAGGAACAGCGACAAAGTCGCTGAGTTGGCACAGCCTCACTCTCTGCTGCTAAAGCTACTGATAGCAAATGCTACGGGCTATGCGTGAACGCCCATGAAGCAGCCTGCTCAACCCGAGCAGCTCTCTCTTTCTGTGATTTTACAGAAAAACAGGCAATCACAGTAAAAATGCCAGGGCTCATGCTACAGGACCAGGGCATTGCAGGAGAATGTATGAAGAAGAAATGTATTATTTCTATACATGTTTTGACTGTCAAACTTCCATAATGCCCCTTTAAGAACGTTAGTGGGTAAAATCCTCGATATATAAACACTTAAACTTCTGAAGACAAAAGGAGGTTTAGAGAGAGGATTAAAATATGTATTAAAGTTATTAAAAGCCTGTATGAGCTCTAGGATGGCTGAAAACGTCGGTCCAATCCGCCTGTGTTTTATCCACAAATCCACTTGGGAGATATTTATTCCTATTCAACAGAAAGCCCTGGACCCTTCACTCATGAAAAACAAAGGTCTGAAGGTCACGATTATTGTTGTTTCAAGGAAAGTTGGGCCGATCTCTTCTGAAAACTGAAAGCCGTGGCCGTGCTAGTAGCAGCAGTTAGCTCTGACAAGCAGTCAGCGGTATTCACATCACCTGTGGGCGATGGCCAAAGAAAGCATACGTTTTTGCTGTGACTGCAAAGCTGGGTACGTCGGCAATAATCATGTCCCTATTTATTTCTTTGTTATAAAGATCGCAGGTTGAGGCACCTGAATCGGAACGTGAAGACATAACTCTGTGGATTATAAATACACGAAGTCACAAGGACTTACCATGAACTAAATGAGCCTCACAGGCTTTCGTCGGAGAGTCCTGGTCACTCGCAATGATCTCTTTGGTATTTTGCGGTTGTTTACGGAGGAAATTCCACTAAAACATTTTTCAAGCCTTCGACGGGCCAAACAATCAACCACAGAGCAAGAATGATCCATCTGCTTAGCTAAATCCTTCTCCTAACGTGCAAAACATTTGAATTATCGGCTAAATATGTTGTTTCTTGCCACCCAGTCCCGTGTCACAAAGGATCCTCCTATTGGCAGAGGTTTTTAGACAAATGCAAGGCATTCATTTTTTTGTAGCTATACTGTGTTAGAACGTTCAGATGCATGTAAAAATGCTTTAAGCTAGCCTGTTTTGCAGACTGTAGCTTTAAATCTGTAAAAAGGCTGTAAAGGTAATGATGGATGCCTAAAGGCAAAGGAGCTCTTTCATCCACCATTTCATATGAATTTCTCTTAAAGAGAATTTTAAATAGCTGAATTAGTCAAGTTTAGTTTTTAAATTTACTTCCGCTGATCTCTACAGTGCTGGCACTTAACCACACCCATCAGCTGATCAGAAGTCTGTCTTTTCATGCCATCGGTGTGGCTTGTGAATGAGTCGTGTGTGTAGGTTCGTTTTGTCGACCGGCGTCTGGCAGGTTCACTCCCTCCATTGCTCATGATTAAAAATTATCCTCTGTATTCTTCCTGCTAGCCTATTCCCTCCCTCCCTCTCTCATTCTGCTCCCAAGAGTTTTTTTGCTGTAACACCTCCCTCTCGGTCTTCTCTCTAAGCTTAGTTTGCTCCAATATTACCAACACACACTGTCTGTCCTTCACACACTCACTGAAGTCCGTCTGTGGTGTTGTGGTCATCGTAGGTAATGGGCTGAACTCTCCCCAAAATGGTGAGAGGGAAAGTCCGGGAGAGAGGCAGTCCACCATGCCTCCTAGTGTCCCCACGCGGAAGGAGAAGAAGGACGTTCCGGTAAGGAAACACCAGGGATCTGACATGGATCCGAAGGTCTTAGCTAGGCTCACTGTGCTGTATAATAGAAGAGGTGGAATTAGAAAATAAAATGAACCTTTTTTTTGTTTTTTTGTTGTTTTAATAATGGATTTTTTTCTCTGCCATAGAAGCCCATGAGCAACGGTCTCCCTCCGACCCCCAAAGTCCATGTAAGGATCAGTTTTGCTAACTGTAAACATGGGATCAATGATACTCAGGATCATTTTCTCACTTTTAAAACCTTTTTTTGCCTTCAGTTGTAGTTTAGGTTGCATGTTTTTTCAGGAATTAAATCCTAATCCCTCACATCTCATGTTCTGACCTGTCTGCAGATGGGTGCCTGTTTTTCCAAGGTCTTCAACGGCTGTCCACTAAAGGTCCACTGTGCCACTTCCTGGATCAACCCTGACACCAGAGGTAGGAAACCAGATGTTACACCGAATGATCAGTGTAGACTTGGACCCAAACTGCCCTGTTTCTATATGTACGTGTATATATAACTGCTGTTTTGCTTTTAGTAAAAAGGTCAGATCTTCCGTTGTTTCAGATCAGTATTTGATATTTGGAGCTGAAGAAGGAATCTACACACTAAACCTGAATGAGCTTCATGAGACGACGATGGAACAGGTGCGATTTAAAGATCGTAGTTCTGCTCTTTTGACAAAAACTAATAGGGTTGGGGTTAAACCGTTGTTTAAGTCATGTTTACATCATGTATTTTTCTGCATCTGCCTGTAGCTCTTTCCTCGGAGATGTACGTGGCTCTATGTCATGAACAACTGTCTTCTTTCTATATCTGGTGAGTCGTGAGTTTAAATAATTCCGTGACTTTTCAGCTTTCCTCTACTTGAAATAGCTCTTTACTATAGATGGAATAAATGTGACAGACATCTTTCTGCTTTTAAACTCTGATCTGTTGCAGGAAAAGCCTCCCAGCTGTACTCCCACAGTCTGAGTGGTCTCTTTGAACAGGCTCGACAGTTACAGAAGCTACCGGTAGCCATTCCCACACACAAGCTGCCTGATAAGATAATTCCAAGGTAACAACTAGGAATCAAAGCTGTCAGTTATTTTCAAACATTTTTTTCTTTCAAAGGGATATTTTACAACCTTTTCATATTTTAAAATCATTTTCTTGAGCCGGTATGTGCTGAAATGACCCTTTACAGGGTTAACGAAGGGCCACTCAGCCCCTATCGCCCCCTGTAGCCAGAATATTCCTCTTGCAACTTCAGAGTTGCCGGTCCGGTCTCTTGGGACTTGGAAAAAAAATGGACCTAAAGGGCCATTCCCACCTGTACCGGGTCGGCCCGGGCCGGGTAGCGTAGGTTGTTTACATATCTGGGTGGCCTGGTATTTTTCTGGGCCAACCAAGGCTCATTCTCAGCCCTCTTCTCGAGGAGGTCTGCTTCAGGCCGACCAGGGCCAACACACCCACTGCTGACAGCAAATTCACACCTTCCATTAGAGCAAGCCTCTGATTGGTGGGTAGAATCAGCCCACATGGACTTAAGACAAGGATGTATGGAATCAACCGGGCCAGGCTGGGGCCAACTGGGGCTACCCGGCCCGGGCCGACCCGGTACAGATGGGAATGGCCCATTACATACCTGATGCTGCAGTCTGCTTCCAGCACGTTTCCTGCATGTTTTAGATCATGAACACAGCTGATTTGTTTAATTTTGTGATGAATCACTTCTGTAGGCATCAAGGAAGGTTCGGAGATGTTTCAGCTGTTAGGTTAAGGTGTTAAAAAGACAAACACACAGCAAGGAGATAGATGTAGGTTTTGGTTCTGGACACTAGGTGGTGCTAAAAGCAAGCCAAAACTGCCTAGTCTCCCTTTAAAGTGGACACATTATGCAAAGCTCACCTTTTACATAATTCCCCTCTAGGATTACTAAAATTAATTTTGAATTTGAGTTTTGCATCCTTTTGTGCTGCCGTGTGGGCCTCTTCCGCCTCTATAAACATGCCAGATACGAAAACATTTTCCGGCTGTTTTCTGTCAGTGTTTGGTTTTAGGAATTATGCGTCTAAAACAAGCAGTTTTACAAAAAGTCCCCATTTGTGATGTCACAGTTGGGGAAATTAGCAAAGAACCACCTCTCATGTGCACGCTCACGCTGGAGGAGCAGTCTCTCCCTGATATCAGCTTCTCGGCTTATTGACCCTTTGCACCTACGTCACCTAATCACGTGGGTCTGCCATACTGGACGGCAAAAGCATGTAAACAGTGAGCAGCACGAGTACTAAACAAAGGGAAAAGTAGAGCCTGAAATGGATTTTTGCGATCTTTAGCATTCCCTCTACTAGTTCAAACGCATGTTCAGTTATCGGAAGTAGCGCACCTAGATGGGGCTCATAGAGAGCGGTATTTACAAAAGTTAACTGTTATTAACTAGCTTACGAACGTTAGCTTAAGTTCTCTCTGCAGCTGTTCACCGATGTAAACAAGCTGCCTACTTTGCCTACATTTACCCGACTGGATTTATAACATTATGTTATAAACAGCATTTCACTTTACACCGAAGCTGATTTAAAAAATGTCCGGATCCCTACTAGTTTTTGTTGCTGGTGGTGTCACCGCGTGTTCAGCTGCTGCTCTCACACCGGGATGACAAGATCTCTCTTAACGGTGACGCTCGTACTAAATTGCGTAATTTTAACACACGTAATCATACGTTGGAGCAATAATGTAATTAATTATCTCGCATTTCACTACAGTGGACGGTGCCGCGCGTCCTCCATGGTGAAATATCCATCCATCAGAAGAACGCATCACATTTGTCCCTGTCTTCGTCGTGAATTAATAAACGTTAACCTTACCTGGTAAAAACACGTCTGCTGTAAACCTGAGGGCTGCTAGTTCGTTTGATTGATCGCTGCAGTTCATCTCTGTCCTCAGTCTCGATCACCATTATTTGGGGGGGGGGGGAGATTTGAAAAACGAGTTTACTTTACATCCTTGTCTGTTAGTGCAGCCAGCCACGTAGCAAGTTGTTACCATTTTACTGTGAAACCAACTAAATAAAAGCGATCAAAGGCTACAAACGGGCTTGTTTTGACTAGCTTCACCAGAGTTTCAACGTGTGTAAACGGTCTTTTTGCCGTCCATCATGGCGAGTGGAGCAGTCCAATGAGTGGCGTGACATCACGTGCAAAGGGTCAATAGTGGCCTGAGTGGGGGTGGGTGTGGCCGACTCCAGGAAGCGCTGAAATGACTCATTCTGGAAGGTACTGAAACTGTTGAGAATAAAACAGCTGATACCAATTTATGTGAGACGGATTTAGTGCAAAGAACTTCATGAACTAGTTCTGTATAAACACTAGAGCTATTATAACTTGATATAAAAAGTCATATGTTTAAACTAGTTTTTCATTTGGAATATTTCCTCTTGTTTTATGAGATTTGTCATCGAAATTTAGTCAAAACACCAGCTTTGACTTATGCACTGTGAGCCTAATTTGGTGTTTGTTGTTACAGGAAGTTTGCTGTTTCCAATAAGATTCCGGACACTAAAGGGTGCCAAAAGTGTTGCGTTGGTGAGTTTCTGTAAAAGACACCCTCATCTATTTTCTGTCTAGCAGTCGTTCTGACTGATATCAGTTGCGATGATTATCAGAGGCTTAGTAAAAGTCTGATTTTAAAAATCTGCAGAGAAAAATCTTTATTTGGGGAGCGTTGCATAAACAGCATCTGTATTTTTTCCTGGCAGTGCGTAACCCCTACACAGGCCATAAATACCTGTGTGGAGCCTTTCAGTCTAGTGTCATGCTGCTGGAGTGGGTGGAGTCCATGCAGAGGTTTATGCTCATTAAGGTCAGTCCTGCTTCCCACCCAGGGTCTCATGTGGAACTGACTTTTGTTAAACAAAAAAAAAAAAAAACATTTATTTATTCATTAAACTGACTTATGTTTGTTTGGTTTTTACGTAAACACTTTAAATTCCAAAACTATCTACAAAGTACTTATTTTTCCTCACTTATATCCGCCGCAGACCATCGATTTCCCGTTGCCATTTCCTCTGGAAGTCTTTGAGATGCTGGTGGTCCCGGAGCACACCTACCCGCTGATCTGTGTAGCGGTCAGCAAAGGATCCGAACTCAGCCAAGTGGTGCGGTTCTGCACCGTCAACCCCAACGCTACCTCCTCTTGGTTCACAGAAACAGGTCAGAACCGAGCGGCTGGTCCTGTTGGGTTAAAGCCTCACTAGACGCGTCAGGTTAATTTTGGTTTTCCCTCCACAGACGCACCGCAGACGTGTGTGATCCACGTCACGCAGCTGGAGAGAGACACCATCCTAGTCTGTCTCGACAGTAAGAGCAATATTTAAACTCTTGCTGATATTTGTAGGAAAATGCCATTTGTGTAATCCCTTTATCCGCTGTTTTCCCTCATCTGTTTCCTCATCCCTTTATCTTTTTTCCACAGGATGTATAAAAATAGTGAATCTCCAAGGTCGACTTAAGTCCAGCAGGAAGTTATCAGCCGAGCTCACCTTCAACTTCCAGATCGAAGGGATAGGTGAGGGAGAACAAACCCAGTCTTAAAAATATAGAACTAAACCAAACTTTATTATTGAGAGGACTTAAATATTGTTTCTTTGTCTGGTAGTTTGTCTTCAGGACAGTGTCCTGGCCTTTTGGAGACACGGCATGCAGGGACGAAGTTTCAAGACCAATGAGGTTAGAACGCCCATCGGTGCTTCTGCGTGTCCCTGTGTCTTCTTTAAAGTGTTGGCCATCACAATAGTCGCTTTAAATTGTTTAGTTAGAAAGCAGTATGTGTGGAAAACATGTAATCTTCTTCCGTTGTTTGAGCTGACGTGAGTTGATGATTTCTGTAACCTGTGATGTTCTCTCAGATCACTCAGGAGATCTCTGACAACACACGCATCTTCAGACTACTGGGGTCAGACAGGTGAGAGGCGTTTTTCCTCACGAGTCAGACAGCTAAGTGCTGTAACACAAGTAAAATATGTTTTCTTCACATTGTCATTTAAAACAAACAATGAAGTTCGTTTCAGATGTTTGTTTGTTTTTTGTGCCACATTGATCTGATTGTAACAACAGCAAAACAAATCGGCAGAGTTAGGTGCTAAAGGTTCAATCAGAACATCTTAGAAGGTTTTTAGGACTAGAGTGCATGTGTGAAAACATCAGCCAGGCACGCCGTTAACTTCCTCTCTGATGTGTTATGACTGAAGACGTGCTGATCGTAGACATCCAGAGGCTGGGGACAAATGTGGTCTCAAACTGCCCAGGTACAGTCGCCACTCGCTGGACACAGACCACTGAAAACCTGCGTCTTTCTGTCGGGATTCAGGAAAACTGTTTCTGGATTTACTGGAGGATTTGGGTCTCCTGGGTCTCTGTATGGCAGGGCTTTTCAATTCCGGGCCTCGAGGGCCGTTATCCAGGTTTTAACCCTGCTTCACCACACTTGATTTCAATTAGTAGGTGAATAACAGGTTTCTGCAGAGCCTGATGAGCTGCTGCACAGGTGATTCAACCATTACTTCAAGTGCGTGGGACCAGAGAAACCACTAAAACATGCTGGATACCGGCCGTCAAGGCCCGGAATTAAAATACCCCTGCTGTATGGGAGGAACTGGGAATGTTTGAGTTTTTCTATAGTTCTTCTTGGTGGAAACAAAACATGCTCTATGGTGCCCCTCCTCCTCCTCTCAATAACGAGGTGTAACATGCTTTGAATTAATCCTTTTTGGGTTTCTGGTTGTTGCAAATATTGGAATAAATCCTTTATTTCTTCTTGATTATTTTTTTTACCTGAAAACCAAAAACTTTCTGAAAATCTAAACTAAACCGGACCTTTTTGTGTCTGTGCTTTTGTGTGTGTGTGTTTGCAGAGTGGTGGTGCTGGAAAGCCGGCCGACGGACAACCCTACAGCCAACAGCAACCTCTACATCCTGGCGGGACATGAGAACAGCTACTGAATCCCACTTCGCCACCGTCAAATAGACACCTCAACACTAATGCAGACAAGGGACTCTTCCATCCCCTCACCTTCACCCACCCCCGCCCAGTCTGCTGGCATCACCCAGAGATGAGCGAGGAGTTTGCAGGTGCAGATATAGTTCACTCTTGGAGTTCCACCTGGATGTGTGTTGGTAACCTGTGAGTTGTGTTAGAACAGGCTGGCTTGTGTTAGTTTGTGACAAAAGAGAAACTAAACCTTTCCAGATACCTTCCCACCTCCTCATGTAGACTGTACTCGCGGGGTAAAAAGCATAGAGCAAGTCGATCTAGTCAACACTATAATAACTCTAGATATAATACTACTGCTTCTTGTGCTAAAGCTTCACAGAAGGGGCATCATGCAAGAAAACCCCACCCTTCCTTTGTATTCTCTTCCTGTTTTGTTTTTCAAAACTTCCCTTTATTTATTGTGGCATGATGTAACTAATAACCAGGGTGGCTGTTCTGAGCTGTTGTTTATTTCTTTTAAAAAGAACAAAAAAATTACTAACAATCGTTGCCACTTTTTGCTGCCATTCAGTTCCCGAACCCATCACTACACCACACAAGTGCTTAATCAGCCTCTATTTAATTTTTGTAAATATGAATGTATTTTTTCCTGACAGAGACAAACACTAAAACATCCAATGGTGTAGATAGGTGTGTTATATTTGCTCTGTAAAGCCGTGGAGACAGAACGGGTGTAAAGGAGGACTGGGACAGTAAAACAGGAAGTTGTTTTCATCCCGCATGCATCCTCTCTTCCTGCTCGTTTTCACATCAACCTGCAGACCGGCGGAGTTATTTTTAAATCTTTTTTTTTCTTCTTTTTTTAATGTTTTAAACAGATTTTTTGTTTTAATGCTTTTTTTATTTGTATTAAACCACTGGTGTTTAAAATTTGCACAGAGAGAAATGTATTTCATAAACAAATGTGATGCCATTATAATATATGACCATGTGTGTATGCACAGTTTATGACCATGTGTGTGAGTGTGTGTGCGCATGTGCATGTAGACGTCGAGTACACACTTAAAAGTGCATTCTGTACAGATCTGGTCTCGACCCGGCTGACACTACTTTACTGGACCAACAGCAGAAATGGAAAAATTAGAAAGAGTTGGATCTACGCAGAAATAATAGAGTTAGCTAATTAAACAGTGAATTTAAGTAAAAACAAGTCAAGAACTAAATGTTTTCTTTTATTAAACATGTTTGTTTTTTTGTGCAAGTTTTAAAAAATGCCATGACTTATTTTAAAGTTTTACTGTCAGCTATTAGAAATGGATTTTATCTAGTACCAAACTGTTTTTGATGTTCTACTTTAAACTTGCACTCAGTCAAAAGCCAAACTGTAGCTTAGCTTATTATTTCTGTGTCATTTCTAGCACTTTTATTTACTCAGATAATAATTGGGAAAGTTTGCATCATCCGCCATCTTTGCTGGGAAGACTGATTTCTGTAAAAGAGATCAGATTTATCTGCATGTACGTTTAGAGCATTGACATATATATGTATGTATATATATATATATATGTATATGTATATATATATGTATATGTGTATATATATATGCAGGAGCGTGGCTGTGACTGTACACTACCCATCCTCACTAGCTGTGACTCTACGAGTCACTTCCGAGGACCGATGACACAAGATTAGCTGAGATAACGTCTCCAAAGCTTAAAAAAACATCTCCCAGACGGGAAATGTTTATATTTGAAATTCTTCTTTTCTTTAAACACGCGTGAGCTGGAATAACAATGCCAGTGAGGTGAAACATTCAGAAAAATCTACTTCATCCAATTTAAATCTACCATTATTCAGGAACATCAGCACCACCTAGTGGTGCTATCGGGTTCTTCTCCTAAAATAGATTATAGTCTTAATTTTTCTAAATCTAATAAATAAAAAACAAACTATAAATCTTGTCCATAAATACAGATTGGAGTAACATTAAGAGCAAATAAATGAATAATAAGAAAATAAATGACACAATCTCTATTTTTCAGCAGAATTTTTTTGATTTTAATAATTTTCTGCGAATGAAACAAAAGTAATAATCATAAATTAGCATCTCTTTATTTTTGGGCTCATTTTCTATTAAAATTTTTCTTTCTTTTTTACGTAATAAAATATCTTTAAGGCCATAGATTTATCTTCCTGTAACACACCTCAAATATTTAAAATACTATGAAATATTCAGTTATGTATAAATGGAGATTTCCTCTCAAATATTTTTTTTCCCATTATTTTTAGTTGCTTTAAACTGATTTTAAGTTTTAACCTTTAAAAAGTTCTCAGTTAAACATCTTACTCTCCTTCACATGGCTGAAATAAACCTTTTACGCCATCATCGACTGATTTTTATTTACAGTTTATGATTACATGTGCTGCTCCTTCTCTAAAGTGCTGGAAGCCGGTACTGACACCACACCGCTTTGCTGGAATCTTCATGTTCTGCATCGTAATCTTAACCTGAGTCAAATAAGCCACTTTTAGGGTGTTTAGGGTACTGGGTGTGTGAGTTTTCTGGATCGTTGTGTTGGGATTAGCTCACGTGTCCGTGGAGATCAGTGTTAAATACTTCAAAGTTCTTTTTGAGCCACGTCTCCTCCTGATCATGTGTAAAAACACAGCTGGTGGTATCTCTCTTGTTGCTATTACATCACTTTTATCTTTTTTTTTTTTGTTTTCACCATGCCATGCAGGCGTTCTAAAGTGTAAATAATGTAAATTAAAATGGGTTTGTTTTACATACTGTATAATTGCCTATATTTTGTTTCAGAAATGTAACAGATTTACGAGATGACAGGTTAACACATTAAAAAGAAGGAACCGAAGCCTTCGCTGTCTTGTGGTTATTTTTAAGGTTAGCAGACAATATCGAAAAAATATTTCATCACAGAAACTTTAAATTAGTAATACATTATAAATATAGAAATGTATTTATACATGATCAAATATATTTATATTATAATCACAGTTTAACCATATGTTGTAACGTATCATTTATGAATGCATATTTAACCATTTGATGCATAATGGTCACTACAGTGGACAGGTACTCAAAATAGTTTTTTATTATTTTTTTTTTTTTTTTTTGCTATTATGCACAGCTGTTGAAGACTTTATTGCATTTGATCCCCTCCATTTGGACTTCAGTAAGTCAAGCCAACATATTTCATGTTCAGAATGCACACTGTCCACTGAGGTGGACATGTAATAAATTATCTGTAAATTATTAAATGTTACAAACAATATTTGTTGAAATTTGTTTCATTCACACCTAAAGATGAAAGAAAAAAATGTTTAAAAAATCATGGTTGAAGATTTCATAATTCATGCATCAAAGGGTTAAGGGGCCATATCATGGGAAATTCACTTTTTGGAGCTTTTTACCATGTCATGTTATTTCTTCATGGAAAAAAAATCCAAACCAAGTTTTTCTGTATTCATGTATTTCCCCGTTTCAGCTGCAAAGTTTGAGTTTTACTTTGAAAATCCTGTAAAGCATCAATGGAAACTCATTTCGTCATCAGGCCCTGCTCCTCTCCCAGAAGCTGGCCAGCATAGAATATGTGGCTTAGGCGTCTGATGTTGTGTAACAGACTTGGTAGTCCAGTGGTTAGAGGGCTGAGACAGACACCTTGACCACTGGATTACCAAGGCCAACACAGCAAGTGACTCACCTAAGACGCTGTTGTGGCACGTTTTGTTGTAGTGGGCGGAGTTTCACTGAAATGAAGCATTTTGTTTCCGGGTATAAATTCTGGCTGATGAAAATAACTCATATTTAAGATAAATGACATCTCAATAGTTCCAGCGGTTTTAGTGTACCAAATAGCCATGTATTTAATCAAAATGACCAAAACTTAACATCTTCATACAGGTCACTCTGACACCATGGTGCTGATATGAAGTCTATGAACTTGAGCCAACATTCTTAACTTATCCTGCATTACATCACGAGTCCTCAAGGCTGCGGAAAATGCAGGACTTCTTATCCATCCTTTTTGAATAAAGTTTATCATTAAGAATATAACCTCCCTAAGTGTCTGAGTGAAGGAGGGATCTCTGAGGTATTTGGGTAACACCTTTAAACTTGTCAATTTCTGATTTGTCTAAATGTGTAAACACTAGTTAATAAAGGCTAGATCCCTCTCTGGACTAGCCAGTTCTCAGCCGCTTCCCGATTCGGCCAACCGGGTTAGCAAAGCACTTGGAACCATCCTCTTGACTCAAGGTCAAAGCCTCTTGGCAATACTTGCAAAGTAGCTTCAGACGCTACAAGACCTCAGACGTGCAGTGTCTATTTAGCAGACCCTGGTAACATCTTATGGCCAGTGATAATTAAATTCAAAGGGATCTATGACTCTTTGAGATTCCAGGAGCCAGTGACATCACCACTGTGCCTGCATTTCATTCGGACCACCGAGAGCTGCAGTCGCACAAGGGTATCGTAGATCTGCACACTGGTGTCGGATGTATTTATGAATAATCTTTAGCCTATTAAACCATACAGTCGGGCAGATTTTACAACCCAGACATCACAAGATCTCTGATACTTAATAAGGTTTTGCTACAATACATCTAAGCTTACATTCCATCATTTCATTCTTGTCCAACCATCATTCCTCATAATTTGTCATGTATAATCATTAGTTTAGAAATATAGTAATAAATTAGTTTTATAAACTAAGTTCTTGACTGTCGGAATTAATTTGAAGTGTGTGTTTCCCTGAATAGTCCAAAGATCCTAAGTTGAAATTAAATCAAATATTCAAAGACCAATCTCATTGATAATTCATATTTATATGGAATATCACATCTTATTGATCATTTAAGGAGTGTAACCCCATCCATCACGTTACACGGTGATATTGTATGGTATACTTTAAAATATCATGATATGGAAACTTTAATATGTACTCATACATAATATGTGTCTAAATTTTTAATTTAAATATGTTACAATAATAATTTACTAATTATGAATACTGGTATTGTAAATACAAATAAAAAAGTATTGTAAAAATATTAAATTTCCCAAATATCTGAATCCAGGTATTTTTGTAATTAAATTTTGCACAATTGCACGTGAAACCCAAATGTTTGTGTATTTTGGTCTGAAGGATGATAAAAAGCTGAGAAACAGAAGCAACTTTACTTATTGTGAACGTTTGACTTTATTCGTTTCTAATTCAGGGCATAAAACCAAATATGACACAAACATTTCCAGGTGTTTTCTTTAAATAAGTAATTTAAACAAACATATACAAATTACATGTTTTTTATTTATTTTCCTGAGTACATGCAACAATGTAGTAATTGGTAAGCTAATAGAAAACTACACAGAGAGGATAAAGGGGTTATCTGAAAAACCATAAAGAGAAACATATAACACTGTAAACAATAATAAAAGAAAATAGGTTTGGTGTCGTTTAGAATGTAAAAATCAGCTATCTTTAAAAATTGGATCGGTTTTAAAGACATGCAGCTTGGACTCAATCTCTGGATTCTCAAGTGGGCGCTCTCCTTCCTCAGCGTTTCACTGATGGGCCCATGACATCTCCAGAGGTTTCAGCAGTGACTTCCAGTGTCCCAAGTTCCCCTTCAAGGTGCCATCTACCCAGTCGAGGCCTAGCTAGAGTCCTTTCTCTTCAGCCAGAGCCACTGGCTGCCCCTTTTAGCAGCTCTGGAGAGATCCTTTATTGCCTGCCAGTGACCCTGTCCACACACACACACACACACACGCACCAAGCTCACTTATCAGCGTTGACGTTTTAAAGGCTACAAATCCTCTATATCCCACCTTGAGGGTTTGAACCTCCTTCTTCCAGCTACGTTGTTTTGTTTCAGCTGGAGATTCAGCGTATCTCAGTTTCCTGTGCTTGTAAGCCTCCTCAACTGTATCCTCCCAAGTGAGCTCGATAACAGTCTTAAGAGCCGCTGATCACAACGCAGTGTCAGGTTTTAGGCTGGTAGATGCAATCTCAGGTGGAAAGCAAAGTCTTTGACCCAGATCCACCAGCAGTTTCAAATCTCGTGCACCATCCAGCTGCCCAGAGCTCCTACCCAGCAACAGACGATGATACTGCTGGGTGGTTGTTGAGTTAATGAAGAGGATGAGACATTGATTTTTTGTCTTTTGCTTCTCCAGCGCTCCTGCAAAACACTAACACCTTCAGGTGTAACGGCCCTGAGAGAGTAATCACTTTAAGTGCTTTCCTTCAGAGTGAAGGTCTGGGGCAGGACTTTCTTCCTCTAAAGTGATTCACGTTCATACTTCTTAAAGCTTTGTGGAAATGTTCCTAATCTAAGTAGATTATATTTACACGACATTTCTACATGTAAATGCTCACAGATTATATTTATACAGCTGTGCCCCTGTTAATCTCCAGATGAACCAGATTGGGAGTTTTCCCCACTGATTCATGCTCAGCATTGTTTTGACTTTCTGGTGATTTTTCACCTCCTTTCTCCTTCTTCTCATCGCTGGTCCTGTTAGAAAGACAGAAAATGTGTTACCTCAGTGATTTTTAGTTTTTTGGGTTTGTTAGAACTTCTGCTCAGTGATAAATGATTACTTCTTCCTGAAGAGCTTCTTAAAGGAGCTCCTGAATCCTCCTTTGTCCTTGCGACTCCTCTCACTGAAGGGGGTGTGCTGATTCTCCTCTGTCCCGCTCTTCCATTTTGTCTCGTCGCCCCATGACTGGATGCCTGAGTCCTGTTCAGGTGGAACACCACATTTTATTTAAAACAGATAAATGTAAAGAATTTGATGAAACATCCTAAAATAAGTCAAAGATTAATCTGTAAAGATGCATTAATATTTTTTTGTTTTTTTAACCTACGATGCTGAGCAGCCCGTGGAGGTCTGGACTATGTTTGTCAGTGTTCCCCAGCGGGTTTTGGACTTTGTGTGATGGGGTGGAGCTCTTGCTGCCCTTACTCCCCTGACGCTCCAGTTTGGCATGGCTGCCCAGTCCCACCCTCTGGATGTGGTCTGACAGAGGTCCTCCATCCAGACTGCTCACTGTGTTCTCCATCTGCAGACCATTCAGCGACTAAACCAAAGGCACAAAGGTTGGTTCAACATCTTGCATTACGTGAAATGATCTCAAATAAAATCGGTACTTAGTCAAAGTCCAAAACCTGCTGGGGAACATTGATACTTATTAATGCTTAAGGTCTATCTTCACCATGGGGGACACAGGGAGTTCAAAGCTAGCTGTCAGGGTAGCACTGGAAGACCCCCCCCCCCCCCACACACACACACACACACATACTCTCTCTCCAGAACTGCCCCTTTTATACATGTATATATGATCTCAAAGGGTTTTGCAGATGTCCTCACCTTACTCTTGCGCTGGCTGGCCTGCAGGGGGCGATGCAGATTACGCCGCGTCATCACAGCTTCATCTGGAGACACACAACCCCTGTTGGGCAGCTTGCTGTAAGCATGACCTTGACTTCCACCATTCCCAAACATGTCTCGGGTCTTTGGGACATTTGCTGCGACTGCGTGAGTAGGAGACTTGGGATACTTCACAAATGCGATGTCGATGGAGGAGTCGGAGGAGGCTGATGAGCATCGGTCGAACAGATGGGGGTCTCCATCCTCTTCATAGAGGCTCTCCATCCCTGGAGGGTCTGGAGGAAGGAGAAATTCTCCGAGAGCATCCGCCAAAGCCGAGCCCGGCTGAACCTGACGGAACTCAGCAGGTCTGGAGGGAAGGTTGTGTGGACATGACCTCTCTGAAATGTCACTCTCTGGGATGCTACCAAGACCTGAAAGACAAAAATGCCAAACAGATGAGTCATCTGGGAAATGGACCTAAGTTGAGACTGTCTGCTGATTCCATCCATCCACCCATTTTCAGCCGCTTATCCGGGGTCGGGTCGGGGGGCAACAGCCTAAGCCCAGACTTCCCTCTCCCCAGCCACTTGGGCCAGCTCCTTTGGGAGAATCCCAAGGTGTTCCGTGGCCAGCTGCGAGACATTGTCCCTCCTGCGTGTCCTGGGTCTACCTTTAGGTCTCCTCCTGTTTGGATGTGCCTGGATAACCTCACCAGGGAGGCGTCCAGGAGGCATCCTAACCAGATGCCCGAGCCACCTCAACTGGCTCCTCTCATTGTGGAGGAGCAGCGGGTCTACTCCGAGCCCCTCCCGTATCACCAAGCTTCTCAACCTATCTCTAAGGGAGAGCCCAGCCACCCTGCAGAGAAAACTAATATAAAACATTACAGTTATTAGTTTTTCCTCTGATGTTCGGAGTTTGTGACGCAATGCATTATGGGAAAGTTTGCTGTCCCAAGTCCGCAGAAGGATGCAATGATGAATCCTTGATGCAATGGGCGGAGCAAGAACACATCCAGGTACTTTTGAACTTGCCATGATTGGAACTCAGGATTGGAACAGTCCTTGGACCATCGCTGACGTGAGTACAGACAAGTATGCATATTGAGAAACGGCCAGGGACAATTTAAAAGACTATTACACAATTCCATCACCACTGACCGGTTGGTTTTGGATTCCTCGAGTCCAGATCAGGAGTAAAAAGCGGAAGCTGAGGCAGCCACTCGGTGTCGTAACAATGACTTCCTGGGTCTTGATAACGATCCCAGTCCGGTAATCGGTTCGACTGAATCTGCTCCAGGAGACACTGCTTCCTGTGCTTCACCCTGTTGCTGTGCTCCCTGGGGTCAAGAAAAGATAAAAGCTACCTCTAAACTCTGCAGAAATATATCCACTTGTGTGTTTTTCTGGTACGTTCTGGTAAATAGTGTTGGTGGTTATTTATACTCACAGCATCGCGTTGCTGCCAGGGTACGGTGAGCCAATGTCATTGGTTTGAATTCCACTCTCCACTGTCTTTAACAGCTGTTTCATAGTAGACCTGCTGATGGTGCACAAGTTCATGTTCATTTCAACCCTTTGACATTCATGATTAAGGCCTTGTTTGCTCCTTACTTTTTAAACTCCTTGCGGTTGAGAAGCAGAAGCTCTTGGTTGTGCTGAAGGAGGTGGTGGTACTGTGCAGTGAAGGATCTGAACTGCTGGATGCACACCAGCAGCAGGTAGTAGTCGGGGTGATCTGCATCTGTCTGCCGAAGGAGGCCCTGAGCACAAAGAAAACGCAAACAGGTAACAGCAGATGCCTGACTTTTGTGTTTTCTTCTCTTAACACCATTTCAGTTCAGTTTATTTACACCAAATCACAACAAGAGTCGTCTCAAAGTAAACATTCCAATCGAACCTATTAATCAGTGCATTGAGTTCAGTTAATTATACCATTTAGTTAAAGGTTTCCTATGTAAGGAAACCCAGCAGAATGCATCAAGTCACTGACTTGTGTCTGTGACTTTACAGCAATCCCCATATTAAACAAGCATTCAGCAACAGTGGAGAGGAAAACTCCCCTTAAACGAGAAGAAACCTCCACCAGAAGCTGGCTCATTATGAGCAGCCATCCACTGTGACTAACTGAGGGTTTGAGAAGGCAGAGCAGACGCACGCGTACACACACACACACACACACACACACACGCATACACACACATGCATGCACGCATACACACACACACGCATGCACGCACAGACACACACATTTGTACCAAGTAGTGTTTCTTTGGCTGCAGGCATTGCTGTTCTCTTAGTAGAGATACTATTTCTGAACAAAATAAACTTTGTTAGTGTTTTTATTTTTATTTTTGTAAAAAAAAATAAAAATAAATAAAGTTTTTACTGAGAAGAAGGTATTACTTAAAATGTTTATTGTTTGCAGCCACTAGGGGCATAACTTCCATGGTCCATTCCTACAGTCCACAAATATAATCTGGTATTCTTGCTTATGTGTAAGTATACCATCCAAACCCACGCATGTGCAGGATCATCTATTTATTATCCACTATGCATGAAGGGGTTAACGCGTCAGATTAAGTTACATTGAACAACAAATACATGATGATATCAAATGTGAGCTGCTATGTTGGTCTCACCTGCAGCAGCAGCAGGTATTCTGGGATCCTCTGAACCGGCTGAAGGAGCAGAGTCCTGAGAGATGGTTTGGATTCATCGCCCATGATGTCACACTGATGTCAGCCCCAAAACAGCCAATCAGAGCATTTTGGGACAGGTGGAACAGGAGTAAAAGCAGTTAGTACAGTGTTGGAAAATATCACTGAGTCAGTGAAATCCTGGAGTTCTTCCTCGTCTCTGTCAGATCCTTTATTCGTTTTTACCTCCGCAAAAGCAGAAGACTTTATGGAGTTGGAAGAGAGCATGGTGACGACCGACAGGCAGTCTGGGAGCTCCTTAAGGTAGGAAACATAAAAGTCCAGGAAATCACTCTGAAAGAAAACACAACTTTATTCAATCACCATTCATCCCATTTATGTTTTCCATGAACAGTAATTGACATAAACACTTGTTTATTGTAAAATGTCAGAAAAAGAAACACCAAGTGTGATGAAATCCTTACTTCTTTGCTGGTGAGCCTCATGAATACATCTCCCATGATGCCTTGCCACTGGCACCTGAGCACACGCTCCTGGAGAGTATGGAGGAGCTCGAGGTGCTGCTGGATCAGGAACCTTAAAGAACTGGGAAACGGTCTAAAAGACAGAAACCAAACAGAACAGGAACTGTGTTTAGAGATGTTTTATGATGGGTTTTGTCTTCAACCACCAGACGTGAAAACAGACATCGTTTTCATCAGCTCGTGCGACAAACAGCAGCAGGTTAAGCAGGTTAACTTAAATGCAGTCATTTTTAAACGGTTCTGCCGTGGCACATTCTCATTGGAGCGTTTTCTTATTGGGAACACGTGTGCTGCAGCTAAGCACTGATTACATTAACAAGTCATGTAGAGTCTTCTCCCTAGTGTTTATAACCTGCTTTGATTTGATTTGTCTATTTCCTGTTGTCCCCGTCTGCATGAGCTCTCGAATTAGATAAAGTTGATTTGGGAAAGTCGGGATCGAGTTCGCCAGGGTTGTTCTCGCCAAAGGTGGGGAAACACGTGTTACCGTTTGTCTTTGGAAGTCATTGCTTCTGATCCGTTGAAGGAGATGTTGGCCTTCAGTAACAGAGACAGGTGGGACACGTAGACTCTCTCAGACTCCAGCAGCTCCAGAGCTGCTCTTTGTCTCTTATCTGCACACAAAACACGATAAAGGACATCTAAGCACGGCTCACCAAAGTAGAGGAGCGGTTTGCAGCAGCGACTCTACCTCATAAGTTAACGAGGTTAAATTTTGCTGTCCCACAATTAAAAAGAATCACTGAATTAGAGTCAACTCAAATCAACGTTGTTGGGAACAATCTTATGAACCACTGAATGGAAAGAAACTTTCATAGTCTTTATTGGAGGTGCACCTCCATCCGCCATCTTCAATCATCATCGAATTTGAGATGGTGGCAACTGTTGGGCCTTTAGATTACTTATTAGAGTTTGTTTAAGTAGGACTGAGCTGTAGCAAGTTTAGACTTTGGCCTGCTGGTTAAAAAAATAAATTTCATCCATCTATTCATTTTCTTGTAGAACTTCCGGTTATGGCGCGAGGCTGAAGGGAACGCATGTGAGAGCTCCCGTGAACAACTATGTAAAGTGACCTGTCTAGTACCTGTATTCGATTTTAAAAAACCTCTCTAATATATAACCAGTGAACGTGTGGCTGAGATGGTGCCAAAATCGGACAAAACGACACTAAGAATGGCGAAGAACGAGCCGGGCCCAGACCCATGTGAGGCAGCTGCTGTGGCAAATGCTAGCGACTCTTCAGAAGCTGGTAGCTCAGACCGCCTGCCGGAGGCTAACAGCTCAGACTTTATACTATCAACTCTTCAAACGATGAGAGACGACTTCATTCGAGGTTTGACGGACTCCTGCAGGCAATACAGGGAGTCCAAACAGAGCTTAAGGCGATGGCAATACGAGTCACGGAGGCGGAAGGTAGAATAAGCACCAACCAAGATGACATCGCTTCTATTCAAGCTGAGAACGCGGACATGAAAGCTATTGTCAGAGACCTGACGCTTAAAGTTGATGACTTAGAAAACCGGACTCGCCAATCCAATCTTCGTATTTTAGGTATTCCTGAAGGTAAAGAGAAGTCAGACGCCTGTGGATTTCTCAAGAGTTGGCTGCCGGAGGTGTTTGGTGCAGAAACATTCCCCCGACTTGTGCAAATCCAACAAGCCCAGGCTGGGTCGTGTTGGTGAAACAGCAGGAGCTGGAGCGTCCAACCCCCGACAGGCTACTCGACCCCGTGTGATGTTGGTTGAACTTCTGAATTATGCTGACAAAACACGGATAATGAACGCAGCTCGACTTAACGGTTCCATACTTTTGGACAATCAGAAAATAATGTTTTTCCCAGATTTCTCGCCTGAATTACTCAAGAGGCAAAAAACTTTTACTACGGTGAAGAAAGCTTTGGCCTCTCTTTCCATCCCTTCTCTGAGGTATGGAATTGTGCATCCTGCGAGGCTCCTGATTACCTACAAGGGAAAACGTCACAACTTTGATGATGCAGTTGCAGCAGAGAGGTTTGTGCAAGAACTAAAAAACCAACAGCAGTAATGGTGACTTACTAGATGAACAGATTTAGACTGTCATTTAAGACTACTGCTCAGCTCTGTGTTGGAATGATAAATTAATATATGTTTGATATTGAAACTCAGGATGCTTGTGCAAGGTTAATGTGGAATTTTGAATGGGGGCCCCGTGGTCTACTTAGCCTGCTGCTCCTCCTATGTAGAGGATCGGCACAGCTCCATGGCAAGGCTCAGAACAGAGCCTAATCGGATGCAGATTAGGTCAGGGAGGGTCGGGGAATGTTTGAGGGGGTTTCAGGTGTTTTTTTGTCTTCTTTTTCTTTTCTTTCTCCCCTGCAAAGCCACTTTACATCTTGTCTTTTGTGTTGTATGTGACTTATACAGGTGCTGGCCAGTAAATTAGAATATCATCAAAAGGTTGAAGATATTTCAGTAATTCCATTCAAAACATGAAACTTGTACATTATATTCATGCAATGCACACAGACCAATGTATTTACAATGTTCATTACATTTAAATTTGATATTCATAAGTGACAACTAATGAAAACTCCAAATTTGGTATCTCAAAAAATTAGAATATTCTGAAAAGGCTGAATATAGAAGACACCTGCTGCCACTCTAATCAGCTGATTTACTCAAAACACCTGCAAAGGCCTTTAAAAGGTCCCTCAGTCTTGTTTTGAAGGCACCACAATCATGGGGAAGACTTCTGACTTAACAGCTGTCCAAAAGACAATCATTGACACCTTGCACAAGGAGGGCAAGACACAAAAGGTGATTGCTAAAGAAGCTGGCTGTTCGCAGAGCTCTGTGTCCAAGCACATTAACAGACAGGCGAAGGGACGGAAAAAATGTGGTAGAAAAAAGTGTACAAGCTCTAGGGATAACCGCACCCTGCAGAGAATTGTGACGACAAACCCATTCAAAAATGTGGGGGAGATCCACAAAGAGTGGACTGCAGCTGGAGTCAGCGCTTCAAGAACCACCACGAGGAGACTCATGAAAGACATGGGATTCAGGTGTCGCATTCCGTGTGTCAAGCCACTCTTGAACAAGAAACAGCGCAAGAAGCGTCTCGCCTGGGCCAAGGACAAAAAGGACTGGACTGATGCTGAGTGGTCCAAAGTTATGTTTTCTGATGAAAGCAAGTTCTGCATTTCCTTTGGAAATCAAGGACCCAGAGTCTGGAGGAAGAGCGGAGAAGCACAGAATCCACGTTGCATGAGGTCCAGTGTAAAGTTTCCACCGTCAGTGATGGTGTGGGGTGCCATGTCATCTGCCGGTGTTGGCCCACTCTGTTTCCTGAGGTCCAGGGTCAATGCAGCCGTCTACCAGGAAGTTTTAGAGCACTTCATGCTTCCTGCTGCTGACCAACTTTATGGGGATGCAGACTTCACCTTTCAACAGGACTTGGCACCTGCACACAGTGCCAAAACCACCAGCACCTGGTTCAAGGACCATGGTATCCCTGTCCTTGATTGGCCCGCAAACTCGCCTGACCTTAACCCCATAGAAAATCTATGGGGTATTGTGAAGCGGAGGATGCAATACGCTAGACCCAACAATGCAGAGGAGCTGAAGACGACTATCAGAGCAACCTGGGCTCTCATAACACCTGAGCAGTGCCACAGACTGATCGAGTCCATGCCACGCCGCATTACTGCAGTTATTGAGGCAAAAGGAGCCCCGACTAAGTATTGAGTGCTATACATGCACATTCTTTTCATGTTCATTCTTTTCAGTTGGCCAACATTAGAGAAACAAACATTTTTTCATTGGCCTTTAGAATATTCTAATTTTCTGAGATACCAGATTTGATGTTTTCATTGGTTGTCACCTATAAATATCAAAATTAAACGTAATAAACATTGGAAATACATTGGTCTGTGTGCATTGCATGAATATAATGTACAAGTTTCACGTTTTGAATGGAATTACTGAAATATTTTCAACCTTTTGATGATATTCTAATTTACTGGCCAGCACCTGTACATCATGGAATGTCAGAGGTCTCAATAAATTTATTAAATTAAAACAGGTTATGAATCGACTCCAACAACTGAAAGGGAAAATTGTATATATTCAAGAAACCCACCTGATCAAGGAACATGTGATTAGAGTTAGCAGAAGGTGGCCAGGCTGGGTGTTTTCTGCTTCAGACAGCTCTAATGCTAGAGGGGTTATAACACTTATACACAGATCCATTCCTTTCAAACTTGTAAATGAAATTGGAGACAAATTCGGGAGATATATTATTATCGAATGTGAGATCTCGTCTGTTAAAATAAAATTGGTGAATATCTATGGGCCTAACAATGACAATCCAGAGTTTTTTAGACAACTGTTTATGACACTAGCTACCTTACCGGGTCATTTCATAATAGGTGGAGACTTTAATTGCACATTGCAGCCTAACTTGGATAGATCCACTGGAATTGATATGTCCCATTCTAATACCAGAAAAGAAATACTCCAATTGATTAAGGACTTTAATCTGGTAGATATTTGGAGGTCTAAAAGTTTAACCCAACGATCTTATTCTTGCTACTCTGGTGCCTCTAGAAGCTTCTCTAGAATTGATTACTTTGATTTCATCTGACCTGATTTCTATTACCACAGGATGCTGGTATGATTGCATCCTTATTTCTGACCATGCCCCACACTCTTTTCTTTTAAGATTTACAAACTCAATAACACGTCCAAACCAATGGCGTTTACAGCCTATATGGCTTAGAGACCCAGGCTTTCTTAAATTTATAGGAGAACAAATAGATCTGTACTTTGATAAAAATACTGATCAAACATCTGCCTCAGAAAGGTGGGAAGCTTTTAAAGCATTCCTGAGAGGTCAAATGATTAGCTATACGAGTTTTAGAAATAAAAAGGAGACAGTGCAAATGGCTAAATTAGAAAAATTAATAAAAGAAAAAGAAACAAAGTTCTTTCAAATCCCAAGTGGTACATTGACTGCTGATCTTAATCAATACAAAGCAGAATATAACCTGCTTTCTACTAGAAAAGCTACAACAAGTCTTCTCAAACTAAAAGAATCTTATTACGAGCAGGGAGAAAGGGCTGGAAAATTATTAGCTTGGCGAATCAAACAGGTACAGAGTGAGAGGGTAATAAACTCGGTCATGATGGAAGATGAGGTGTTGACTAATAATTCAATAGAAATTAATGATACGTTTCGAACGTTCTATGAGAAACTTTATGCATCTGAATATGACTCTTCCTCACAGAAAGATTTCCTAGACTCACTAGATTTTAACACCGTGGAGAATGAAGCCTTGGAAACGTTAGAAAAGGATCTAAGTTTGCAAGAACTATCAGAAGCCATAGCAAATTCACCTAGTGGAAAAGCGCCTGGACCTTATGCAATTCCAATTGAAATATATAAAATTTTTAAAATTAAGTTAATTCCTCCTTTGCTCGAAATGTTTAAAGAATCTTATAACAGGGGTTTATTCCCTACGTCACTAAACACGGCAATGATTTCGTTGATATTAAAACCTGGAAAGACACCCACTCATTGTGGATCTTATAAACCAATATCACTACTCAATAATGATTTAAAAATTTTGTCTAAAGCT